CCAAAGAGATCCGTACCTTATGCAACATTAGACGAAGAATGTAATCGACTTCAACAACAAGGAGTTATTACTCCCGTTTCTTACTCTAGGGCAGCACCTGTTTTCGTAATCAATATCATATCAGATTCCAAAACCTGAACATTCGCAGTAGAGCCTATACAACAGACCGATTGAGTTGAAACTAGTATTCGGATGTGCTTACGGCAACATCTATACCACAAAGCTTTCTATAAGTCTTCGAACTGAAAATTCGCTGCATAAACTATAATCTCACTCTTACAATATGAGATAAAGGCCTGTGATAATCTGACAGTCTCTTCTGCAATAATTTCAACTCAAATGGGTTGCGGATAGTTGTGAGTTCACTGGAGATTTCGGTCTGACAGATTTTCAAATATCTGTCTTTTAGACTTATTTTGAAGAAGTGTTTAAATTATAGTGAGAGAGTAGCGTAACTGGATCTTTCAAATGAAATCATCATAACTTTTTAACCATTTGCCTGACACTTTTTCATGCACTCTGTTATATCAAGTGCAGTCATTAGACTCGTCAAGAAAATGAGCCTAATTATTATTTTCGAATGTGCAGGTTATAATTTCATACCATCAATGACCAGTCAGTCAGTCAGAAACAGCGTAGATCTTCGTACGTACGTACCACATTAGCACTTACAGAGATGGAATTATCAAGCAATTCGAATAGCTGCAGACGTAGTAGAAGTATTAGCGGTAATTAAGAAGATTACGGTTCGAATGATATATTCATGATACATAACCCAGTGAAATCGATTTACTAACGTAAAAATAAATGCCACGATGAACTCAGATGACTAGAATTTGAGCCATGCCGTTCAAGCTCTCTAAGCACCGATTACTATCATCTCTGATACCCCAACCTGGTAGACTACACCTACAAACATGGCTCAGTCCAATTGTCAGTGACTTCATGGATTTGTGTAACGTCTTGGTTTGGCCGCTCATGGCCTTCTCTCAGACTATCCCATCATCTTAAAACATTGCTCGTCGGGGCGGTCTGTGGTTGGGCATTCGTAACACAACCCAACCAGCTAAACTGATGAAGACTCACTACTTTATCAATTGATCTGCCATCCTTACCTAATACCCGTTTCCTAACAACTGCATTGCCTACTCAATTGTCCCGAGATATATGAACACTACTCCGAAGACACCTAGGATCGATAACCAGGAACCTACGGATATCCTCAACTCTGACTGACCATGTTTGACAGCCATGAAGTGGGACGGAGCAAACTACTGCGCAGTACGCTTGTCCTTTAGTCAGGAGACGGTTATCTCGCCTGTGCAATAAGTGACTCAGGTTGGCAAAAGCCGATGGAGCCTTCTGTATCCGAGCTGAGATTTCGTCACACACCAGGCCGTCAGCACTGATGAGACTACCCAGATGCGTGGAACGGTCGACACGCTCAACTACTTCACTCCCTATCACTAGTTCAGGTGCTGACGCAAGCCAATCTTGAAGCAATATTTGGCATTTTGAGGGGTAGAATCGCATCCTTAAAATGCTTGCATTGTTGCCCGAGGTGGTCAGAAGACTGTATTATATCACTATCTTCTCCATATTCCATTCTATTCTATTCGACATATTCTAAGTCAATCAGCAAGTGTCCTAGTAGAAGACCCACCACTGGAAATTGACGAGGATAGTATTATCTCTAAAAGCATGTCTATGACAAAATTAAACGAGCATGAGGAGAGTGAACATCCCAGATGGACATCACTTGAAGTGATAATTTCGACAAAAGCTCATTTTCACTAGACCAGTGGTGTTCGGTTAGTGGGTATAATAATTGAGGAAAGTTGAGAATAAATTCAGAATAAAGTTGAAACGCATCAGTACTGAGAGACTAATATCTTACTGTCAAAACTCATCACCAGATTGCAAATAGATACCACGTCTGATATCACATCCCGAGCCTGCAGCACACAACACAAAAACCTCGTACAGCATGTGGTAATTACCTTCATCTGTTGCGACAATTGGAATGTAAAGTTAACTTCCGAGACTCGTCATTTACTGGTGTATGTTATATGACGTCAGCTGATCTAAATTTACTTGATTTAGATTGGTTCGAGCAACCAAAGTTGGCTGACGTCCCATTAAATACCATATGCCACCTGATATCACGACCACATGAACCCGAAGCATCTACGAGGAATCTAATGGCGCAGTTTTCAACCATCTGCCAACCTGGATTAGGTCGGTGTACTGCCATGAAAGCAACACTTCGGTTGAAACATTGGGCTAAGCCTGCTTTCTGTCCAAAGAGATCCGTACCTTATGCAACATTAGACGAAGAATGTAATCGACTTCAACAACAAGGAGTTATTACTCCCGTTTCTTACTCTAGGGCAGCACCTGTTTTCGTAATCAATATCATATCAGATTCCAAAACCTGGACATTCGCAGTAGAGCCTATACAACAGACCGATTGAGTTGAAACTAGTATTCGGATGTGCTTACGGCAACATCTATACCACAAAGCTTTCTATAAGTCTTCGAACTGAAAATTCGCTGCATAAACTATAATCTCACTCTTACAATATGAGATAAAGGCCTGTGATAATCTGACAAAGTCTCTTCTGCAATAATTTCAACTCAAATGGGTTGCGGATAGTTGTGAGTTCACTGGAAATTTCGGTCTGACAGATTTTCAAATATCTGTCTTTTAGACTTATTTTGAAGAAGTGTTTAAATTATAGTGAGAGAGTAGCGTAACTGGATCTTGCAGATGAAATCACCATAACTTTTTAACCATTTGCCCGACACTTTTTCATGCACTCTGTTATATCAAGTGCAGTCATTAGACTCGTCAAGAAAATGAGCCTAATTATTATTTTCGAATGTGCAGGTTGTAATTTCATACCATCAATGACCAGTCAGTCAGTCAGCAACAGCGTAGATCTTCGTACGTACGTACCACATTAGCACTTACATCTCAACTCTGTTTTAATTAGTGCTGCCATATACATGGTGCGAATACTTTCCAAGATTCCTAGGATTACTACGTGTGGGAATAGTCAAAGCTTCACACGATAAACATGTGAACACCATTTTTGAGCAGCCTTTGTGCATTGAGTGAGTTATTCCTGCAAATGAGGACGTGATTTTTCAGTCATCCAGAGCTGTGTACGTTTTTCCCTATGAATGCCCTTCTACGATGCATTCTGACTTACTGGATGAAAGTAGGCAAGGAGTTGGAATTTATTGCTTGAAATGAAATCTACGTTTAAACTTATGCTCTTCACTTATCTGGGGAGTCTCATTAGTGCTGAAGAAATCTCAACACGGATATAGAAGGCTCGATTGGTTTTTACCGACTTGCTTCGCTAATGACACAGGCGAGATATCCGTTCACTAACCACAGGACTGATTTACTGCGCAGTATTTCTCTCCATCCTACTTTATGTCTGTGAAACATGGCTGGTAGGATATTATCGAATATCCTAAAGAAATTATTTTGTAAGTCTGATTCTTTTAGTCAATATTTAAGGTCTTCCTAAACTATCAAGTTCACATACTTTCACACCTTGTTTCCAAATGGTTAGCATCCACGGTCGACCCAACTGTATAAATTTGTATTGTCTGTAAAGTTTTATGCTCCTCCTCTTCTTCTTTTTTGATACCGTTAGCAGGTCCCTGGTACGCCCGGATTAGACTTTCCTATCGTGTCAATGGATCACTTGTCTTAGCTCTGGTTTACCGACTAAGGTGAACTCGATTGCCGAGCATAACATAAGAGCAGAGGATATTTGTAAGTTACTGGTTTTCGATCATCGGTGTCTTCGAAACATTACTGGTGTACCCTCGGACGACCGAGTAAGCAATGCTGTCGTTAGGAAACGAGTACTAAGTAGGATTGGAAGATCAGATGGAGTTACTGGCAACTAAACTGAGCCATGTTGAGAAGTGTAGACTACCAGGTTGGGGTTGGCGAGACGATAGTAACTGGTGGTTGGAGACCTTGAATGACATGGCTCAAAATTGTTTGCAATGGTGCATATAAATCTATTATTTGTCTTGTCTCAAATTCTAATCATCTAAATTTATTGTAACACTTGCTTAAATAATTCCCAGCTAATTCCTAATGCTTAGTATACTCTGACCACAATACACTGGACAAGTTCCAAAGAATTAAAAACAGGGTGGAACAGGAAAAGATTACATTCCAAATAGCAAGGTTAAATGGAAATACGAAGCCGAAGGCAAAATAGATACGTTAGATTCTTCATAGTATTTTCATGAGAAGCTTCTGGTTGCAAATCACGTGATCGACTGGATTAGATTTAGCCAATCAGCGTGCAGCTAACAATATCAGAACTTTCTACACTGTTCTCCAAGAATCGATCAGGTGCAGATTGGGTAGGAAATTAGTCAATCAGCGTGCAGCTAACGCAGTCATGCTTTATTTCCATCTATGTCCCACTAACAGAATTCCTTGTGACCTTTGTCTTTCCCTTTACAAATTTATTTCACTTGGTTATGCTTGCTGAATAATTTCATCGAACCCTAATCTTCTTGATCACCGCTAATACTTCTACTACATCCACCACTATGGGATTTGAATTGAAAATTCGAAAAACGGAACAACTAAACAACCAATTTTTAGTTTGTATTTTTTTCACAGGGCAATCAAGCGAACGAACAAAAAATTAGAGCTGTTGTTTTACAAATAACACATGGAATAAGAACTTTGCACAGTGAAAGCAAACAAAACAATCGAAAATAAATTAATGGATATATAAACCAGAGAGTCATACAAATGCGATCTACTTAACATACAATCAATAAATCAAACCAAAAATTAAGGGGAAATAACAGAGATGGAGAGCAAGAGGACGATAAACAAGTCTTGCGTGTCTGTGTGAATATAAATATATAATACATACCATTTCTGACTTTCAAATTGTTTCAACGTTATTTTCTCAGGAGAGAGAAAAATTATATGGTAATATTGGAGTTTAGGATTTATTATTACCACTAAGATTGTTGTTGTTTTCACTCTGTGATGATTGGTGAGGTTGTTCATTTCCAAAAGAGTTTGCAACACTACCTGAAATACATGTTCGTAACGACTGTAATACTGTTGGTGATACACTACGCTGTGTTCGTGAAGCATTTAGAATGCTGGAAACGGATGGATTATTTGAAGGGACATTCAGTGTAGCAACACGTCCAAGAAACATACCTGTTGTGGAAACACCACCAACTACATTAGAGGATAAGCGAGTTCCATGTGTGACTGGAACAGGAACAACCGAACCACTTGTACCACTGATACCAGCAGTAGAGATAGTTCTTACAAATGTCGACTGAACAACTGAACCACGTAGCTAAAAATATAAACAACGTTAAAGAAACCGGTTAGAATAAATGGAACTAGCTAGAATATATGACTGAGTTCTAAAGTTAGCAAAAAAATAATAAAATTCCTTATTGTGTCACGGATTCTCTGAAAATAAGTTTCAGTAACACAAGTATGAATTATATATTATCGATATTTTGAGAGTAAGCTTCATTTTTATAAGTCGATCGCCCAAACAAAATACCCTAACAAAAAAGAAATCGAATTCTTAAGAAGATAAAAATAAAATAATTACATCATGAAATTATTCTGTCAGAAAGTTGAATAAATCTTGGCATAATGAATGGAACACACCTGTTAATAACAAATCCTTGCAAATAATCATCACTTAACTAATGAATTTAATTTTTTTCTTTCTCTCTCTGAGATCACATGCCAAACCAACTCAAGTGAACATTTGTATAAAAAAAACAAAGATCTAAAACTCTCATAAATAATTATTGACTGAATTTTCAATGACGGTAATTTATCTTAATTATAAGAATAAAAAAGCAACAGTTATAGTGCTGCTACGTAGCTATTCAGTCCTACCGACGTCCGAATTCAATTATTCCAATACGACCCCAAATATTATTCCCAAATTTTCTATACATCAGAACGCAACACCGATAGATGAAGTTGTTTAATGGGTCAAGTACACAAGAGAGGAAGGCAGGAAGGAACGGAATGAAAAGCCTTATAGATAATGCGTATATATACTTTTAAGTCGAATAGGAAAGAGTATCGAAGTCTGTGACATTGATATCTAGGACGACCATAAAATTGACCAGTAGGAATTAACCAATAATTGGATGAATATCCTAACAGATTTCATGCTAAACCAACTCAAGTGAACATTTGCACAAAAAAGCAACGATCTAAAACTCTCACAAATAATTATTGACTGAATTTTCAATGACGGTAATTTTTCTTAATTGTAAGAATAAAAAAGCAGTTAATAACTTACAGCATTTCTAGGACGAAGAATCTGAGGTATATGTGTGAGAGATGATGAATAGTTATTCGATACACCAGGGACTACAGCAATATTCGATGGTGTTGTAAGGATACTATGTCCAGATGTAGATCCAGATGATTGTGTACTAGATAAAAATTGAGGACGTTGATGTATATAAAAATTAGATTGTCCTGTTGAACAATTAGAAGTTGGAATTTTTGCAACCTGTGTATTTAAATATGTACCAGTAAATGAAGTGGTTGATGAACTTTGAGAAATATTAGACGACGATGAATTCAATCGACAAGTGTGTAGTCCAGTACTAGTTGGCTGATTACCTAAGCCGATTCCCGTAAATGTAGTAGAACGTCGGAGAACAGTGGGTGTGGATGAAACAATTGTCTGAATGATGAATAAAATATGAAGAGTTAATACTTGTTTGAAATAAAAAAAAGAAACTAAAACTTAATCATTCTCATCCATTAAGATAAATATCTAGTTTCATATATGATAACTACTCACTTATTGAGGGAAAATACAGATCTATTCTTATCAAATGAAACGTACTCATAAGTGTAGGGGATGATGGAGATTGCTGACTGTTATCGAAATCACGTAACAACCAATGATAACTAAAAAGTGTTGGACGGCTTTTTGTTTTAAAATTGGACGTCAATAGTGAGTATGTGCAACCCCAAGAGAAATCGAATCCCGAATATTTATATTCTGAGAACACCTAACCTTTAGATTAGTGAGACGCTGTTTTATGGTTTATATATCCAACTTTTATTATTCGTGATGTTACAAAATCATATCATTGTGTTCAGTGAGTAACTACCTACCATCCGACATGGTCATGACTTTTCGCTGGGTCTCCGATAATCGCCTTTTGAAGTCAATTATTAATTATTATGTGATAATCATCAATAAAAGAGTTTCTGGAGATCGTTGAATGATACTAAAGTCAGGGATGAAGACTGCTAAGAATTCCGACACTAGGATAAAACAACTGCCTGATGCTTGTTGGTTTTCAATAGTTTTTTTAGCTAACTTAGACTGATACGCGATCACAACTAAACGTAATATGCATTTTCTTTGTTGAATATTATGAAATATTAAATTAAACTGAATAACACGGCTCGAAATAGTTTGCAATGGCGCAGGTGCATTCATTTTTTATGTTCTCTCAAATCCCAACCTTCTGAATTCCTCATAACCTTTATCTTTTTTTAAAGTTAATTTCACTAGATTCTACTTCTTGAATTATATCGTCGAACCCTAAAATTTCCGACTGCTGCTAATAGTTCTACTACATCTACTACTATGGGATTTGAAGTGACAATTGCATCTCAGTGCTAATGTGGTACGTACGAAGCTCTATGTTGTTGTTGACTGACTGACTGACTGAAACTGAATGAAATGAATATAAAAATGAGCAAACATAATGTTTTCCAGAATTTAGTGAAGTCTATAGAATGAAAGTTAGGTGAACTTACTTGAACGTTAAGAGATCGAGGATTGTTTGCTGTACGCCAGTTGCCGGGAATCAAAATACTGCCAGAACTAAAATCTACACTTCGTATAGTTCCACTATCATCTATTAATGATGAAGAAACTGGTGCCGACGATATCACATGATGAGTACCAGTAAGATGAGGCGTATTAATGATTGATGAACTTGGAGTTAAATGGGCGAGACGACCAGTTGAAGAGTTTAATAATGTTTGTCGAGGTTGTAATTGATAATGAGTAACTGGTGATGAAGTATTCTGAGTACTGAGTAAACGTTGTTGTTGACTGGTAAAAGATAAAACCGAACTTGATGTTGTAACGGTATTAGTACAGAATCCGGAACGAACTGGTAACTTGATGTAAAATAAGAAATATACAATATATGTATAGTTCATACAAATATCGATGTTTAAAGGTAAACAAAAGCAGTGATTAGGATATGTTGAGGAAGAGAATGAGAATCTGAACTAAAATTGATCTCTATGATTAATCTTTGTTATCATAATCAACATTCACTATCGAAGAGTAAATCAGTCTAATCGTGGAACCTGGTACGTTCAGGTTCAGAGATAAAATTTCAAAGTAGTAGAGGTAGTAACAGTAATAACCGTAATGGAAAAGATTAGGGATCAAAGATATGATTCAAGAGGATACAAATCAATCAGATAAATATTTTTAAACTATATGAGGAATTCAGGAGCTTGGAATTTGAGGAAAGACAATAGATGGATACACGTGCTTCGCTGTAAATGATTTTGAGCCATATCATTCAAGACGTCGAACCATTGCTTAAGATAACCTCACTAACTACAATTACGTAGTCTGCGCTTATTAGTAAGGCTGTCTAAATGTCAATGAATTCGCAAAATCGTGCCGTTTTTTAGTTTTGGTTGATAATGAAATATCTAATCTACGAAGAATTACACAAAGTATATATATATATATATATATATATATATATATATATATATATATATAATATTAAAATATTTTCTTTTTGAAGAAAACATTCATCGCATTAATAAATCAACAACATACCATAACACTAGCTGCTCTATGAGATAGATTATGTGTAAAAGATAATTGTGCATTTGTTCGTCCATTTGAAAATGATGTAACTGCAGGCGGAGAACTATAATTATTTGAACTACTTAAAACACTAAATGTTGACGTTATCGATTCACTACTACTACTACTAATACCACTACTACTATTAGTACTATTCGTATTATTATTAATATGTGTAGATGTTTTATATACATGATCCGATGATGATGATGATGATGATGATAATGTTGGATGTGATAGTAAACAAACATTTTCAGTTTGTTGCGTATTTGTTAATTCTGTGAAATGATCACCTTGAATTATTCCAATTGTAGAATTAGTTATTGAATTAGCAGTAGTAATATGACAATTATTTGATGATGATAATAATGAAGATGATGATGATGATGATGATGATGAAACGGTTGATAAATTTTCAGCACGTTGACGAGCTTCACGTTCTTCCTTATTTTTAATTACCATAGCAGGTGTAATTAATGTATCTGGATTGATATTATGCTCCTATTTACATTTTATTGTATTGTTGTTTTGTTTTTAATGAAAAAAAAAATACAAAAAAGTATCAAATTATAAACGAATCATAAACAAATATACTACAACAAATATAATTGTAGAAAATTACTTCATTAACTAAAATAAATGCACCAAAATGTTTTTTAAAAAATATCAGTGTAAGAAATGAGGATCAACATTTATCAGTTGCATATCTTTAAAACTATGTCAGTAATGTGTTATATGAACCACTTATGGTTGCTTTCACATTCATTAAGTCAAACACAAGCTCCTCAAATGCTCTGGTACAAACGAGAATGATAAGAGTTCGTTTTCTCTCTCGCACTCGAAATGATGCCATATTAGTCACTGACACGGAAGTCCTATTCACTGCCTTCTCATGCAGCCAGGGTGTTGTTTACGACAAGCGAGTGTCTAGTGCTTTAACCGGGTTGGTATATATGGATGATAAACCTAGGAGATTTAGCAAATCTTGATTCCAAACTAATGGTGCACAAATGACGTATGAACCCATTATTAGTCACCGGCTGCTGTGGGACAGCAATACCTGATACAGCACCACTAACTTGTGGATTAGACCTGTAGGTCAAAGGTTCGTGGAGTGATCTCATAAAAAAACAACCTAACAAATTCGATAATTCGCATAGTGAAAACATTTAGGTTTTCCTTTGCATCAGTATTTTTGTTTTAATAAGTACATAAACAAAAACTCAAAAATAAAATTATTCACAAATATACAAAAAACTGACTTGAAGTGCAGCAATATGTGTAGGATTTTTCTGTATAACTGGACCGCTATGAACAACACCAGTACTGGATCCAGAACTTGAACTCAAATCAGTAGTAGTAATATTTGAATTTTGATTTTGACCATGATCATATGTCATATGATGACGAAAACGATGGTGTGTAAGTAAAGCAGGAGTATTAGATACAGTTGAATGACCTGTCAGACCATACGATGAAAGTTGTCCAGAGTTAGATGTATGATGAATATAATGCGTAGTGGATGTACCAATACCTGCACCAGTATTACTAACATTAATATGTGCATTTGGATGATATCCTAAAACTGATGATGACGATGATGTGTTTCCTCCTCCCCCACTAATATTATTATGATTATTATTATTGCCAGCACCAACAACACATGTTCTACGTGATCCAGTTGAACGATAAATAGGAGGGATTTGAACAGATGGTACAGATAATGTATCTCGAATAGCTTTGCGTAAAAACGATGCTTGGTTATCTTCAGCAAATTTCAAAATATGAATAACTGGTGATAAATGCGTCGATATATTGCTATTAGAGTCAGCAGTAGTAATATTAGTATGACTGGAATCGTTACGATCAAGTGAGAACATTAAACTGAACCATGTTTGTAAATGCTACGCAGATGTGTTAGATATTACACAAAATAAATAGTTTGTGAACAAAAAAAAGCAAATTATTCAAAAGTGTTAACACGTCGATGATCTATGCATAAGTAACACATTTAACAGGTGCATATATGATAAAATCCCAACAGGATATTCAATGTCGTTACTTTAAAAATTGTTAATATTACAACAATGTCTACTTACAAACTTCAAATTAAATTGATTTGATTACTACTGTTATTAATGATCAGCCAGATAAGCTTCACAATATACATGCAATCATACTGAATCAGACAGATTTTATCTAACACAATTAAACATAGAAATAAAGAACAGATTCAACAATATTCTCACAAGTACTAATATTGTTATGAGGTAGTTCTACCAATGTATTTCTGTTTGAGAAATACTATCCGCCTATTTAGAATGAAATCTATGAATACACTAAACTACAGTGAAATTATAAATATAGGTCTTGTACAAATTTATTAAATTTCTGTAATTTATCTACAGTTGTTCACAATAACATATTCTGAAAAAAACTACAGACCTAATTAAGTCGACACAAAAATTTGGTAGGTTTTTGGACTGAATTACTCATTTGGATACTTCTAGTCCAATTGTATTTTACCGATAGAATAGTCCGGTCATAAAACAAGTGTATCTGGAGCTATTGGAGTTTTAGAACAACAGCACCTTAACATAAACGAGATACTGCCATAGTAGGTACGATACTAGTGATAAATACTGCGGTAAGGTGACGTAGTATATTCATATTTATATAATTATAAGTGATGCCGAATGTATTTCGAGAGTAACTAGAAAAATAGCTAGACAGCCATGCCCAACCTGAAGCGATTCGAAATAATGATAAAGCATATCCAAACCACCGAATACCACAACGATCGATATTGTCGGATGTAGCGCTAGGCTGGAAGGAAGCTACGGGTGGCCGAACCAAAACATAACACAAATCGATGGAGTCACTGACAAATGGACTGAGTCATGTTGAGAAGTGTAGACTACCAGATTGGGGTCGGTGAGATAACAGTAACCGATGGTTACATACCTTGAATGACATGGCTGAAAATCGTTTGCATTGGTGCATATAAATCTATTCTTTGTCTTGTCTCAAATTCGAATCGTTTGAATTCCTCGTGACCTTTGTCTTCCCCTTTTCAAATTTATTTCACTGGGTTATGCTTGCTGAATAATTTCATCGAACCCTAATCTTCTTGATCACCGCTAATACTTCTACTACATCCACCACTATGGGATTTGAATTGAAAATTCGACCTCTGTGTGCCAGTGTGGTACAGCAATTTGAACTTGATGTACGTACGTACCAAGTTCTACGTTGTAGCTGATTGAAATTTAATAATATTGAAAAAATTAAATAAAGATTTTGCTGACAGTCTTTCTTCTTTCTGAAACATTTATGTCCGTAACTCAATACAAAGTCATTGCATTTTCGTATCAGGAAATAATAATACTAATAAATGCCATTTTTATTTTAAAATGAGTAATCCTACTTCTTAAAAAGTAAGATTCTAACAATACTTGAAAAACACTACTACTAATAATTAACACATGAATATTTACCTGATAAAATAGGTAGCCTCTGCATCGATTCAGAGCAGCAGCTACGGATGCAGCTGATGTAGTAGTATTGCCACCAGTACCGGTACTACTTAGATTGCCACCACCTCCACTTCCATTATTACAGAATTGAGAAGCTCCGCCAACATTACCAGGAATAACAGATGTGGCAGCAGCAGCAGCTACAGCTGCACTTTTCATTTTATTTTTAACTTTACGACTGCTTGGACTATGATGATGTAAGGTGGAAGTTATATTTGCTGTAGATGAAATACGCATAAAAGGGGGTGATGAAGAGAAGGATGGAAATTCAACATTGGCTTCACAGATTATTGTCTAAACGAATTACGTAAATCAATAAAACTAGTGGATTTGACTAAAGAAAACTTAATAATTCTATGTCCAAACAGTCAATTAGAACCGAGTTCGCGTGATAGGTCGTGAATATGGGCTGTTGAGGAGTCTCATACAACGCCCAAACTGATGTTCACCCCTTCCAGGTCTCCAACAGTGGCCTTACAGTGATTGGTTCATGATTTTAGTGAAACTCAACATTCACCAAAACTCTTAATTGACAAAAATTACATAAATCTTTAAAAAGAGGAGGATGTAACCATTGAATTATATAAGAGGTTCTTTATCCTCAATTCAGCATTAATAAAAACTATATTTATGAACATATAATTTTGAAGTTACACGCATCTTTCTTGAATTATCTATCAGTGAATTATTATTCTCAAAATTAAAGAATCACCATGTAACTCAGCCTTATGTATAGATCAGTAACTAAACTATCTGATGAAATAGAATAACTTAACTAGCAACAAGGGAATGAGAATTGAATTAGATTTGAGAAAAGTTGGAATTGTATGAAAACGTGTATGTTATTATTCGGATAATAAATCTACGTCTTTTTGGATCAGAGTCATTTTCTCTTATCCTCCTCATTGAAGATTAATCTACTGAATATCAAGTGAAATCGGGGAAATTATTTGACTATGATACATCATTCACTCATTCTCCTTAATAAAAATAAAATGTTTACTGCGTACATAGAAAGCTTCAGATACAAAATTAAGAAGACAACAGATAACAAACAAATTTTCTAGCAGAAAGTGATAGGATTGAAATGTTTTTTAATTAATTGGTTTATAATAATTCACATAATTACCTGAAGCTGAATGTGACAGATCATCAGGATTAAATGTAAAAGGATTATTGAATGAGTTCACTCCATTATTAGATAATGTTGATGATAAAGCTGTATTTGCTGAAGAGACAATATTCTGCATTTTAAGATGTGCTAACAAACATTGTCGTGCACCACGATAACTTCGATTAGGAAGATAGTTATTAAGGAAAAATTCAGTAAAACGATAGTTAGGTGTAATTGTAGGTAGATTCGAATTCGAATTATTAATTTCAAAATTTAACTCTTGTAATTTTGTGATACACTGAAAACAACAAAAGATGAAATGAAAAAATTTTTGGTTATATATGCAGTAAACTGATATACAATATATAGAAGAATATGACCGAAAAAAAAATGAAATGAGACATTTTCTTAATCAATAAAAACAACACATACGAATTAATCGATTGTTCATGCGAAAAATAAACTTTTCACTTGTCAGTTTGACCTGACCGTTTTCTGTTTTAATAAAATATACAAATAAATGTATATATAATCTGAAATATATTCGTTGTAAAAATGACTATTAAATAGTTGGTTGGTTAATATTCATAGTACATGAAATAAAAAAAGTAATACTATGACATACTATTATTTACATTGTAAACAAAAGTACAGTTCATTGTAATCCATCTTGTTTAGTTAAACAAAAACTACAACAACAACTTACTAAATATAATGCTGCTTCTTCATAGATCAACCAATCAGGCGGTTTACCAACATATAACTGACTAGCTACTTGTGTTACATTATTCAATGGACCAGGGTTATGAGTTGATGATGATGAACTGTTATTTGCAGACAGGACTGATGTTGTCCCACTACTGCTGCCACCACCGCCAGAATACTTCATAGACGAGTGATATAGAGAAGTATTTGTTGTTTGCTGTAAGAGAATTGAAATGACAGCAACAATATTCATACATACTTGATATGCACAGAAATAGGAAATAAATTGAATCTTTAGGCATTAAATTAAGAAAAACACAAGGATTTAGATGGAAGGGATGTGATAATTAAGGGAAACAGTGAAACGGTGCACTTACGTTCCTTTTTTTTGTTTCACTTTTTCTCATTCCATGCGGTTTCTTAATATGTGAAGCATATATATATATATTACTGACTGATATATTCAATCATTTGTGAACATATAATTCACGGAAAACGGTTGCCAACGCTTCTGGGATAACAGTGATGGTCTAAACTGGATCATGTTATATTCGAATGAAGATTAAAGTAAATAGTAACTTCAGTGACTAATTTATGGACTATTGGTGTATATAATCTAATTGTATAATTATTAATTAACTAGACTATCAGGTACATATATTCTTTTTATCATAAGTTTTCTATTAATGCATGAAAATATTATGATAAGATTTACTGTTTTTATTTCGCTGGCAGTTTATTATTTACAGTCCCCATCCACTAACGACCACCTTTGGTTCGTTCATTTATAGTTGTTAATTTCCAATTATTGGTGCGATGTGGTCTACTTCTGTATGTATATAAAGGAATGTATGATATATGGGAATGAATCTTGGACTGGTAGTCATTGATCTTCCTATTGGGTTGGGAAAGTTAACACTAGACCGTCCTTCAAGTATAGAGTAGCAAGTTTTCCATCCTTGTTGCACACTGTGCACTCATAGATCGTCTGCATATTGGTTAGTGTAAAAAACCATAACAGATCAGTTCATGATTTTAATGAAATCTAAAAATCTCAACAACCCTTTACTAACAATTATCATGTGATAACTACTAACAAGTTTCGAGACGGAATTCCGGGAAGATGCGGAGTTAAACCGTGTCGGGTGTGAGACAATGGAAGATGACAATATCGTGGACTGATTAAAGTTAGACATTAAATCATTAGTTCAGAGGTTGTGTTATCGGGCGAGGACAAAGACCCTGAATTATATTCTAACGGTTTGGGTAATGGATACGCTTCGTTGAGGAGGAAACGGTCATCCAGTGTTTTCAGGTTATTTAAGTTCGATCGGTTCATGATTCCATACAAATATAAAATTTCCGTTTCCTATATCAAGCATTAACATTAATTCGTAACTTTTAATTCATTAATCAATATAACAGCATTCTCACAACATTTCTATTAATTTATCTTCATTGCGTTTACGTTTATTAGACATCAGTTTGTTTGTACCAATCTTATATTTAGTAAACATAGTTCCTGTTTTGATTTGTTGCCTGATATTAATCAATCTAATACGTTCTTGGCTCTTACATAATTTGTCATACGCTTTTTCTGCACATAATACACGAATAACTTGTGCATAAAGCTCTCCATATTTCTCGTTCTGATTACACTTTGATACATGTACACGCCTAGAATATCTCATGAATTGAAGTATGTAAATTGTGTTATTCATGTACTCATTATTAAGAGTAATCCTTTGTCTCAATTTAGCATTTTACATGACTCAGTTAGACTTAATACAATGTTAGGAAGATTACCATATGGTACAATAATCACTTGATAATCTAAAACTGAATTAACTGACGTGAATCGAGAAATAAAAAACGTTACGTTATATTCACTTTTAATCAAAACATGAATGAAAAGGATCATAAAATTAAGCGTTTAAAAGGAACCATGACAAAAACAAATTTACAATAAGATATCATGTAAAAAAATTTCGAGTACAAAACTAATTTACAAAATAACGCTGGTATTCTAATGAAAGCGTCAAGTAGACAGAAAGATAGACATCGTCAACACAAATATGCACTGACCCGAGTTGTTATACCCAATCAGCGCAACGAAATCAAAATACTAGAAGAGATTGAATTAATGTACGAAAAATAAGTAATGAGAGTAGTAAGAGTCGTGGATGCGCACTACTGATGAGTCCTATACCAGGACGAAACAGCCGTCCAGCACTTCCAGGTTTCTAATGGTGGTGTAACGATGATTCATTCATGATTTAAATGTAAGACAAAAGTCGCCATAATGTTCCAAATCAAACATATGAAGAAAGTATAAACTTTGGGAACGAGAGACTAGATATATCCAGTCATTTTAATTGATGTGCTATGTTCTTTGAGATAACTAGTTTAACTGTTAAGTATTCACTGTTGTTATACACATAATCAGTGATTACTTAATGTGCAACCATAATATCAAACCACTGAGCTCAGGGAACACAACACATTCAAAAGCATGCACCTGAATTAGATATTCTTCTATATTATTTTACTCTGTTTAAACCGAAATTACTCAGAAGTAATTAGGGCCAATATTTGAACAACATTCGAAAAGCCGATATTAGTTGAAGTGTTATTATTCTTATTCTTAGGAAACCCCTTCACCAACCTTAGACCTACAGGTCTAATCCACAAGTACGTAGAGCAACGTTCCATCCGGATCCCACAGCCCATGTGAACAGTTGGTTTGGAATCACGGTTTTCCTATTCCTCTTGATAAACTCATGGTCATTTGAGGGCATTTGGAGAAAGAATAGAAGACTCTCTCCACTCTCGGTCGTACGATGGAATTTGAAAAGATAAAAGACTTAGTTTACAACAGGAACACTAATTACTGTTAATTACAAGTTAATTTATGAACTATACAGAACAAAACGATTGCTATTATACATTCATTGATAAATCAAACAATGATTTCAAGACTTTAAGTAAGGATAAAATATCAAATCCTAAAAGTCAATTACGTTAATTGAATTAAGTACAAATATGTCAGAAACGCTAATGAAGTGTTACAGTTATGGAACAGAAAAATACAATGTAGTAGATTATCAGTGGACCTAAAACTTAGATACGACAAGCGGACAAGACAATAAATAATTTCATAAAACACAAAATTCACATATAATACATACCATGTAATTCTGAAGTGAAGACGGTAGATGTCGTGCAGGTGAATTACTAACTGATCCAACGCTGTATGTTGTATAACCATAACGGGCCAGAATAGCTGGATTAGATGCAACTGAATTCCATGGACTAAAGGCTGCGGACACAACAGTATTAGGTATATGTGGATGATTGTGCTCAGAATATGTATTAGATAAAGCATTCAGTTGTTGGTGCTGCTGATGTTGCTGTTGGAGTAAATGGGCACCAGCGGCTAAAGAAGCTACAGCTGCAGCTGCCGCAACGTCTGAACCTGATCCGATATTTGTGTTATTTATGCGACGAAGTCGATGAACACGAGCATTGGTAACTGCTTTATTATAAGATACTCGTGGGATATGTAATTTCAAAGTAGCTGAATTTCCACTACCATTGCTCAGAGAAGAATGTAACGATAGAACGATTGAATTATTTGTATATATATTTGCACTAGATGATACCGGAGAAAGAGGTATTGTGTTACTTCCACTGAGACACGTTGAAGGGATACTGACTCCGGTAGATGAAGGATCACGTGAATGTGGTTGTTGTGAACCAATAATTCGACCATCTTGATTTCGGGTCTCACCTTCGATAGAAGCTTAAAAAAAGAAACTTAGTTAACGCATGAAGATGACCAGAAGGTTATTTCGGCAAAATATACTTGTTAGCGGGACATAGATTAGATTAAAACATACTCCACACATGATTGCGTTGTTGCACGCTGATTGGCTCTTTCGTATCCGATCAGCGCTAGTCGATACTGGGGAACATTTTAGAATCTTCTCATATAAGAAAACTGTAAATACACTGACGTTTTCTCCTATGGAACTCCTTACTTCCATCTAACCTTGTTATTAGAATATATTCTCTTTCCACTACAACCATGTTCTGATTTGGAGACAGTTTCCAGTGAATTAGTGTCCGAGAATACTAAGCATTAGGAATAGCTGGGTTGTAATAAGAGAGAATTATAACAATACTAATAGTCGTATTAAACAAATTACAGTCCTACAGGTCAGTCTAGGTTGTAACAACCCAGTGGTAACGTCTGTAACCATGATGCTGAGAGACAAGCGATAGGATTTGCCAGGGAACATTAGTTCCCTCAAGATTACATATGCACCTTGCTGACGAGTGTCAAAATGAGAGACACCTAGGTCCAGGATTTCCTGTGAATGCACAATAACTTAACTATAAGACGGTCATTCTAAAAGCTAATAATGAGTGAAGTTGTAGAGCTCAGTGATTTCATAAATAGGTTATTATTGTCGTATCAAGAATTCAGATATAAATACCTCATTTTGCATGAGATTTACTGAATTGCACTTGTTCATCTACTTAGCATAAAGCGTTTAATTTCTATACTGGCGGAAATCGATACCTTAATAAATACTTTTATGACTTATCATTATTATTTAAAGATTGAGTGAAAATGTACATTCATTTAGTGTGAAGGTTTCACTGTTTAATCACACGCGACTGTAGCTGCTACCTTGACGCGGTGGTCGGGCTTGCCTATCGTGATGACCCAACCGAGCTATATTGGCTGGAACACATGTTCCTGAAGGTTCTACCATGCCACGCTAGTCGATTGGAGAACGATGAGACTAAAAGCAGCTACTGAAGGTCTGAAGGCGAAGTCGTACTGCTGACTGTAGAGCGGTGTGACAGCAGCAAGCTGTTTTTCTTTGATAACCAGCATCTGCAGCGATGCTGTCCTCTCACAAAGAGGGAAGGGTTAGAAAAGGTCAACCATAAGAATGTCACACCTCACCCTACCTCACGGATTTCCGTCTCCATCTCTCTTATCTTCACGACTAACTCTATTCACATTCCTTTATCTCACTGCACCGTTAATGCAAACGATGCGAGTTGACGAAAAGTTATTCCTGGTCTCCTGAAACCCCGTTCTAGACTACATGATGGAGCATTTAATGTACGAACATTGTGTCAAATAAAGCAACAGGCTTCCTTAGCTAGGACATTAGAATCTCGTGCCATCGAAGTATGCTGCGTCTTGGAAACGCGCATGCAGGATCCTAGTAAAGTCATTGATTTGATTTTTAATTGTCAAAATAAAGCTGCCCGATTTAATCTTCGTGTATCCAGTAGCCCTGATGCTGTCTCCAGGGGTCTTGCTGGTGTAGGCATAGGATTAAGTCGTAGAGCTGAACAATCTCTCCTAGACTGGATCACAGCAGATAGTCACTTGTGCGCCGTCCGACTAAACGGTACAATAAAGACTCGGAAGAATAGGGACACTCGCCGTTGCCTCTTCGTCGTATCTGCTACGCTCCCACTGACTGTAGTTCAGACGAGGTTAAAACTGAGTTTTACAGAAAGCATTCGGACCTCCTCCAAAAAGCTAGGCGATCCGATATAGTGATAGTGACGGACTGTTTCAATGCAAATGAGTGAATGAGAACAGTCATATAAGATTACATCCAATTCCCGAATTACACCTAAGATGTCAGTAAATCTTCCTCATCTCAGATTTCCTACCACCTTCTCAACTTCATAAAGAGTCGGACGACTTATATCGATTTGCCCTGCGTCGACTTGCCATTCAGGATGACCAGAGATAGTGGGCAACCGAAGTGTCGCTGAACGCCAGTTGAACTGATCTTTGGAGTGTTCTGCCCATCGGTCCAATCTCCTGTATTGAAAATACATAACAGTCCCATCTCTTATCGACATAGTCTCTCACTAACAGTAGGATTCCTAATACCCGCTTACTTGATAAGTCTGAATGGCTGTCTACTGTTACCTATCGCCGCTGTTTCTTCCATCTCCTTCGCTTTAACCACCCACCACTGTTTGTGATCATTGTGTAGGCCTTTTATCAGTCTGTGCTTAAGATGACTCCGCTGTTCGTCACGTTTAAGGCCAAATGAGATGCGTTTTTGAGCATCTATCAGTTCAGTAGATGCTACGGAGATCTACTGTTTTTCCCTAACCTTATGGTTTACCTTACTGGCAGATATCACTGATGTGTACTGTGCAGTAGTTCACTCTATTCTCCTATATGGTTGATAAACATGGCCGATAAGAGTAGAAGATATTCGTAGGTTACTAGTGTTTGATCACAGATGTCTTAGAAGCATTGTTCGAGTATCCTGGGACAACCAAGTAAGTAATTCTGTTGGCAGGAAACGAGTACTAGGTAGGGATGGCAGGTCAATTGATGAAGTATTGAAACTTCATCAGTTGAGGTGGTTGGGACATGTGTTACGTATGCACAACCACCGACTGCCTCGACCAGCTTTGCTTTGTGGTGTAGGAGTAGGTTGGAAGAAATTTAGGGGCGGCCAAACCAAAACATGGCAGAAATCCATGAAGTCACTGACAAGTGGACTGAGTCATGTTGGTAGATGTAGACTACCTGGTTGGGGTCCGCGAGACGAAAGTCACCAATGGTTAGAGACCCTGAATGACATCACTCAAATCCGTTAGCGATGGCACCGGTGCATATATTCTTTGTGTTCTGTCAAATCCTAATCTTCTGGATTCTTCAATACCTCTAGTTTTTTCTTTCTAAACTTATCTGCTACTTCTTGAATAATATCTTCAAATCCTAACCTCTCTGACTACTGCTAATACCTTTACTACCTCTACTACTATTGGATTTGAATTGACATCTGCGTCTGTGTGCTAATGTGGTATGGCAACATGAACCGATGTACTTACGTACGAAGTTCTACGTTGCATCTGACTGACTGATGTGATCTAAACAAGTACAAAAGGCACGGGTAAGATGGGAATCTCATGGACACAGGATCATCAAAGCATCCTTCAAAACATAGAGAGAGGGCATTACAGTGACGTCATCCAATGCTATGCACCTGCCAACCACTACAATGACGATGTTCAAGATCAATTGTAAGAGAGGATGCAGTTAATCGTCGAGAAATGTCCAACAAAGGACTTGACCGTTCTAATGAGAGACCTAGAGAGGCATTGGACAACATCACAGAATTTTGATACGGCCTTTCTTCGGGTACTGACAAATACAACGAATCCAGGATAGCCCTCAGCAATAGGTTCCAGGCTTTTCACGATCAACTCAACGGAGAGAAAACTACGATGGAGAACAACTGGAAAGCAATCAACGAGGCTATCGGTTCAACATTTTGTAAGGTTCCGGGTCACACGAAGCCCCATCAAAAGGAATGGATCTCTGTTGGTACTCTTGAAAATATTCAAGAAAGGAGGAATAAGAGGGCAGCAATCAATGTCAGCTGAACAATAGCAGAGAAAGTTAAGGCACAAGCTGAATACACAGAAGCAAACAAGTGAAGAAGAGCATCAGAGCTGACAAACGAAAATATGTGGAAGATCAAGAAACGGAGGTTGAAAAGGCTGCAAGAGAAGGAAACATGAAACAATTGTATGATACAACAAAGAAGCTAGAAACCAGAACGACCAGTGAAAATCAAGGAAGGCAAAGTAATCAGAAACAGGTGGGTAGGGCACTTCGAAAAACTCTTGAATCGACAAACCCCACTGAACCCACCCAACATAGAAACAGCACCCACGCACCTCCCAATCGATTTTTGCGCACCTACAATTGAAGAGATCAGCATGGCCATCATACAAATTAAAGCAGCAGGGCCAGACAACATTCCAGCAGAGGCATTGAAGACAGACGTGGCGGCAGCTGCAAAGATACTCCAGTCTCTGTAGCAGGATTTGGGATGAAGAACAAGTACCATCAGACTGGAAAGAAGGACAACTCATCAAAATACCAAAGAAAGACGCTCTGAACAAGTGTGAGAACTACAGCGACATCACTCTTCTTCAACAGGATGAAGGACTTCGTAGACGCCCAACTTCGAGATCGACAAGCTGGATTGCGTGAGGATCGACCAAACTGCAACAATCAGTTGAAAGGAATTCACCATTCTACATCAACTTCATTGACTACAAGAAAGCATTTGATAGCATGGACAGAACAACACTATGGAGGCTTCTTTGACACTACAACGTGCCTGAGAAAATAGCCAACATCATACGTAACAATTACGATGGATTAAAAGTCATTATTGATATACCTGTTACAAGTGTTTTAAATAACACTGAGTAAAAATTGATCTGGACACAAAAAATAGTAGTAGTATGCCATCATTATTGAAGTTGAATGAGCTTTTCATCTTCGCGAACCGAATGGAAAGCAATGAAATCAGTTCATAAATTCCTAAAACGTCTGATTTTCTCTGGACAGATTGTTCAGTATTAAGAACCAAACACACTATTATGTTTTGACTTATCAATTGGTTATCACCAATACTAGAGGAGCTTAATAAAGATGTGATTAGAATGAAAATTAACACAAACTAAAACTTGACAGTCAGTCAGTCAGTCAGTTACAACGTGGAACTTCGTACATGAGTACATAAGTGCAGGTTGCCATAACAGTACAGAGACGCAACTGTCAGTTGAAATCCCATGGTGGTAGATACAATAGAAGTATTAGCAGTAATGGAGAAGATTAGGGTTCGAAGATATGATTCAAGAAGTATAATTCAGTGAGATAACTCTACTCCTACACCACAAAACATAGCTCGTCGAGGCAGTCGGTTGTTGAGCTTTCGCAACACATGGCCCAACCACCTCAACTAATGAAGTTTCAATACTTCATCAATTGACCTGCCATCCCTACCTAGTACTCGTTTCTAACGACAGCACTGCTTACTCGATTGTCCCAGGATATACGAGCAATGCTTCGAAGACACCGATGTTTGAATACTAACAACCTACGAATGTCCTCTACTCTTACCGGCCATGTTTCGCATCCATATAATGGGACGGAGCGAACTGCTGAGCATTACAGTCGTCCTTCTCGTCGCGAGCAGGATATGAACCTTGACACAAATTATTTGTATGGTAGTCACGTTTTTTCTCCCCGTACTCTCAATATATACTGAAATGCTGATTATTTACGTAAACAATGTGAATTGTCTCTACTTTTACGGCAGCTGCTTGATAATTATCATCAAGTCATAATTTTAAATATATGTAATATAGAAAAATTCAAAAAACCAATCACAATATTATTTGCATACTTACCAAAATTTGAACATGGAGTAGCAGTAATAGTTGGTGTTGTTGTTGCAAGCGTAGTTGATAATTCGTCAAAAGTATTGTAGTAAGAAGTGGTAGAAGATGAATTGGTTTTACGAGAAAATGAATTTGTTGGACTAGTTAATGCTCGTTTTTTGAAATTTTTGTTGCTCAATCGAGAGCCATTACGATAAGATGATGTTACATGTGAAATACTATTATTTCTATTATTATTATCATTATTATTGTTAGTATTATTTAACGGTCTAGAAGATAATGATGATGATAACAAAGATGAGTGATTCATAATAGGACGACGTCTTCCTGATTTTCTATCAACCATATCATTATTATTGCTAATATTATTATTATTATTATTATTATTATTATTAGTCTGTATAACAGGCGATGGTGTTGGTATGATCAATGGAGGTAATTCGCTTTCAGTCATTGGGATACTTTCATAACCGAAATCATATTCAACACCACCCGAAGCCCAATCATCATTTGAATAATAATAGTAATCTTCAACAGATGATAAAGGATGATTAGATTCATTTTTGTTGGCTACTATCGATTCAGTAGTATCCGATGTTGAATGTATATCTTTCAAATATGATTCAAAAGGACACCAAATCTAGTAAAAATTAATATGATATGACATAAGATGAATTTTTGATTGACAATAGTTAGACAAAATGTTAGTGAGAAAAACTGGACAACAATAATTTATTATTTAGTAATAATAATAAATTATCTGTGAGAAAATTCCACTATCTCGTTGTTATTTATACTTCTTTAAAATCACTATCAATTTAAAGAAACATACATGGGCCGAAGCGGTGAAGGCACATTTCCAACATAATTGAAGTAAGCTCTAATTTCATATTGCACATAAGTCAATTAGTAAAAAGAAATAAATGTGTACGGTTTCGATTTCCGATAACAGATCGTTAAAAAGCAAGATAAAACTATTCAGACATGTCAAAATAGTGTAAATGGTAGTCCAGCTAGTAAAATTAAGAAAAAATAGCCCTAGACTGATAAAACAGTATATTTGACGAATAAAAGGTATGAATATTTTGAGATAAAAAGTAAATGCATCCGTGCCAACTCAACCGATTCGGAACCGTATCACATATACTCCAAACACTGGTTGAAAAAATTACTTGGACTCCATCCAGATAGTCTGAACCTACCTACACAGCTTATTTAAACGATTGATAACTTCACGGATTGATCCTGTTTTCGGTTTGATCCATTGAAGCTTTTTTCAACTTGCTCTTACGCTAGCAAACATTGTATAGCGAGGTAGGCAGTGCTTGAGCATTAATAATACATGTTCCGGTCACATCGGCTGACAAAGATTTACTTTCTTATCAATCAATCAGCCATCTTTACCCTGTCTCTAACCATAACAATGCAAACTCGCTTATTTCAACATACGCGAGCAATGGTTCATATGCACTAATGCGTAAATAATAGTAACCTACAAATATTTGGCATTTTAAAAGGTATTTCACTGTCATAAAGTAGTAGAGAACGAAGTGTTTGGCAGTAAACTCTCCCTCCGGTTGGGAGATAAATATCGCATACACATAAGTGATACAAGTCACCAAAAGCTAAATGACCCGTCAGAAACATCATAAAGATGGTTGCAGTTTTCAAAATGGGTTCAGAAAGGGTAACTTCTTTTTTTGAATACCAAGGTCATAACCAAGTATATAAATAACATATAGCCTTTGTAACAATGGTTACACAAAACTACGTATGTTAACCAGTACGGAGTATAGTCAAAAGACATACATGTGTATTATACGCACGAAAAAATATATAGTGCCTAAACGTCACAAGATATTGACTTCCAGAAATACTTTTATTCAGTAGTTATATTCAGTTTTGTAGAAAGAAAAAAAAAACAAATTACCTTTATGAAACACCATATGCAATTCTTTCCAACAAACGGTAAACTGTTAATACTAGGAAAACGGTTGGATTCCCTTGAACAATGCACCCAAAGTCTATATGACTATTTTGGTAACGATGAAATAATGATCTTAGGTTAATAAGCAATATAGGTGGTACTCAAAACAATCATACCATTTTCCCGCATCACACCCTTGTACAGTCAGTCAGTTGCAACGTAGAACTTCGTACGTATGTACAAAAGTTCAGGTTGCCATACCACATTAGCACACAGACGCAGATGTCAAATCAAATCCCATAGTGATAAAGATAGAAGACGTATTGATGGTAATCAAGAAGATTAGGGTTTGAAGATATTATTCAAGAAGTATAATTAGGTGAAATAAGGTTAGAAAGACAAAGGTAGAGGTGCTGACGAATCCAGATTAGGATTTGACAGAACACAAAGAATATATGCACCTGCGCAATTGCAAACGATTTTGAGCCATGTCGTTCAAGGTCTCTAACCATTGGTGACTTTCGTCTCGCGGACCCCAACCAGGTAGTCTACATCTACCAACATGACTCAGTCCACTTGTCAGTGACTTCATGGATTTCTGCCATGTTTTGGTTTGGCCGCCCCTAAATTTCTTCCAACCTACTCCTACACCACAAAGCAAAGCTGGTCGAGGCAGTCGGTGGTTGTGCATACGTAACACATGTCCCAACCACCTCAACTGATGAAGTTTCAATACTTCATCAATTGACCTGCCATCCTTACCTAGTACTCGTTTCCTAACGACAGCATTGCTTACTCGGTTGTCCCACGATATACGAGCAATGCTTCTAAGCCACCTATGATCGAAAACCAAAAACCGAGGAATATTTTCTACTCCCACTGGCCATGTTTCACAGCCATAAAGTAGGACGGAGCGTACTAATGCGCAGTACACTCGTCCTTTGATCAGCAAACGGATATCTCGCCTACGCCATAAGTGACGCAAGTCAGCAAAGCTGATCGAGCTTTCTGTATCCGTGCTGAGATTTCGTCAGTCACCAGGCCATCAGCATTGATGAGACTCCCCAGATAAGTGAAGCGGTCAACACGCTCAACTGCTTCACTCCCTATCACTAGTTCAGGTGGCGATGAAACCCAATCTTGAAGCAACATTTTCCATTTCGAGTGTGGGGAATTGCATCCGGAAAATGCTTGTATTGTCGCTCGGGGTGGTCAGAAGACTGCATTTTGTCAGCGTCCTGACCGAATAGAACTATCTCATAGGCATATTCTAGGTCATTAAGCGAGCCTCCTGGTAGAAGGTCTACTCCTGAAAATTCAGACGAAGATAATGTTATATCTAGCAGCATGTCTATGATAAAATTAAACAAGAATGGGGAAAGTGGACATCCCTGACAGACATCACTTGAAGTAAAGAATTCCGATGACAGTTTGCCATAAGCTGTAACTCAACCTGTAGTGTTCGAGTAGAGAGCTTGTATAAGGTTAATGTACTTCTTTGGTACACTTTTCAATGACAGACACTGCCACAGAACCTTACGATCCACTGAGTCGAATGCAGCTTTTAGGTCCAGGAACGCGACTATTGTCGGACGTCTAAATGTGTGTTTGTGTTCCAGAACCTGTCGTAGTGTGAAGATGTGGTCTCTACAGCCACGTCCAGGTCTGAAACCAGATTGGTTTTCTCGAGTCTGCTCTTCACGAGCTCCGCCGGAGACGGAAATCCGTGAGGTAGGGTGAGGTGTGACATTCTTATGGTTGACCTTTTCTAACCCTTCCCTCTTTGTGAGAGGACAGCATCGCTGCAGATGCTGGTTATCAAAGAAAAACAGCTTGCTGCTGTCACACCGCTCTACAGTCAGCAGTACGACTTCGCCTTCAGACCTTCAGTAGCTGCTTTTAGTCTCATCGTTCTCCAATCGACTAGCGTGGCATGGTAGAACCTTCAGGAACATGTGTTCCAGCCAATATAGCTCGGTTGGGTCATCACGATAGGCAAGCCCGACCACCGCGTCAAGGTAGCAGCTACAGTCGGGTGTGATTAAACAGTGAAACCTTCACACTAAATGAATGTACATTTTCACTCAATCTTTAAATAATAATGATAAGTCATAAAAGTATTTATTAAGGTATCGATTTCCGCCAGTATAGAAATTAAACGCTTTATGCTAAGTAGATGAACAAGTGCAATTCAGTAAATCTCATGCCTTCTAAGGGCGTGTAGTTATTATTTTCAATTACAAACTTCATTGACATGGATGGATATAGACACACCATAAATATATTTGAGTATTCTATTTAAAAACAAATAACGCTTGATTTACTTGACTCATTTCATTTTAGTTTAGTAAGTTGAAGCAACTTCTTTAGGTGATTATCTCATATTTGTTATTTTCATGTAGTTTTCTGTATAACCATTACGTTTCCAAGTAAAAATTCTATCACAGACTCATAATGTACGATTAATTACGAAATCATATCCATTACTGCTGAACTACTGAACATAAATATGCCATCAAGCTTAGTTAGTTTTCTTAAGTTTTCAACGATCAAAATAAGAGTAACCTCACTGGATCAATTAATGAGGCAAGCGCGTAATTAACTAAATATCCAAATTCTAAAGAGCAGAATAATTAAAAATTTGGACAACCGGCGAGACCATAATTTATGGACGAATCATTTACGTATCTGGTAACAAGACTTAGATTTTGGTGTGAAATTTATCCATCCACATGGTTCATAACATTTTGGCATTATAGCCGATATCAGCTAGTGACGAAAAGCTCCAACTCTAATTCCTAACGGTTACATCCAGCTCTAAATCCTATTTCTTATTCCTCATACTAATTTAAATTCCTCTTTTAATCCTAGTAAGTAGGTGGATATCCTTAAGGTTACTTTGACATCGCTCAAAAGTCGTCCAGAAAATTTTAATCACACCTGTTAATCATAGCATTCATGTACACAGTTAGTTTACCTATCTTACACAGAGCTCTAAACTCAACAATCTATACTTACTCTACAAATTAGATGTTATTCATAATTATTTATCAATAACATTGTGTGGTTGAATATCTGTGACCATTTCTACATCGTAAAAAAAAGTAATAACACAGATAGTCTCCATTGAGAAAGTTTACTCAAAAGAGTTTATAGCATAAAAGAGCATAAAACTCACTGGAAGTTGAGCGTAAGAAGATATTATTTCAGAAGTAGATGATTCAATATGTTGTTGTTGATGATGATGATGATGATGATAACCATTTTGATCAATCACAGAATTATCATCACGATTTATATGAGAAGGGTGATGATGATAACTTAACCAATCATTTGATTCACAGCCTAATTGACTGTCAAGTTGTGATATACGACATAATGACTCATAATTAGCAACTTCCCAACCAATTAAATTGGTATAACCTAACTGTTTGATCAGACAATGTTGATAGGATTTTACATTACTACCATTTGATAACTCAATGAAATTTGTATCGAATTCATCGAAAAGTTCGCTGCTCAAATCATCTTCCAAATCAATTTTACTATCATCTAACAAACAATGAAAATCATCTGTGTCATAATCATCATTATCATCGTGAGAAACAAACTCATTGGCAATAGCTACTTCTTCAGCATTTGTACAACACCATGCTTGTGTATCAATTGGATCTTCAAACAGTTCTAATGCTTGATGAAGCTTCAATTACAAACATAGTAGAAATTAGAGAGAAATCAAAGAATCAAAATTTTAAATATAAGCAGTGTTTTAGCTGGTTATAACTTGAATATATAAATTTCGAGATGGTTAATATTTGTTCAGACATCATGTAAGCTGAACTATACTTTAAGTACGTCACCATTGCTGAGATATACAAACAAAAAAATATTAACGAAGTATGAGATCATGATGGTACTTTAGTTGCTATGCTGTGGCAAAATCAATGGTCTAACCTTCGGTGTACCAAATGATAGAGGATAACTTCAATCGACATTTAAAAAGAAATTCGACCATGTTTAGTGACAAGTGTGTATCATCAAGGATAACTGAATTCCAAAATGGGTAGGACAGTAGCATCAACAGTGATGAAATTTCATTTTAGAAAACTATTTTATTTCAATACAGTCTAGTTCATTTGCTTCTTGTGCTAAATACATCGTTTTTAGTGTCAACTTACATTCAAGTATGTTAGGGAAATATTAGTCAATACAAAAATAATATTATCTGGAAACTGGGAATGTATTGGCATCTTGGTTAGTCAGTCAAATGCAGTCAAATACCCAGCGCTAAAACCGAATTGGTGGGTACGGCGGACCAGTTCTAGGGAACTTGGGAAACCCTTATTCCAAACTAATGCTACACATGGGCTCTACTATCCTGAGGGAATGAATGGTGCATGAACCTATTGTTGGTCACCGGCTACCATGAGACTGAATCTGTTCACGTTGTTCCACTGACTTATGAACTGGACCTGTAGGTTAAAGGCTCGTGAAGTGGTCCCCTAGGAAGACCAGCCGCACTGGTTAGGGAACTCAATCAGTATCGCAACTCATACACAAAGTCATTGACTCGCGTGGTACAAATATAATAAACAAGTCCTCAATCACTGGCCGAAATAATCACCATAATATAGTCTATACTAGTCTGCACAGTTCAGATTAAAAGTGAATGACTTGATTTCCCGTTTTGGTTTTCCCATCCTCAGCTTTTCTTTAACCTACTTTTAAACCAAATAGCATCGTACACGGAGGTAGGCAGTGGTCGAGTACATGTGTACTGCTGACAAAGAAATAAAAATTTCAGACTAATTCAGATAGAATGAATACTGATTTACGTTTCTCGACTAGCTCTTATGAATAAAATGTTTTTTAAAGACAATAAATCATAGATTAATAGAAGAAAAATACTTACCAGAAGTTCACTTAACGGTTCTCTTTCTTGAAATAATAATAAATCATCATCTTCACATGTTATTCGCTCATTATTAAATAATAATGATTCATTGAATCGATTTTCTTGTCCAATACATGAAAATGATGAAGCAATAGACGATGTTGATGAATGTGACAATGTATCATGTTTATGAGTAGATCCAAAAAAATTACGATCATTAAATAAATCTAAACGCTCGAATTCATTCGATTTCATTTTTTGTCGTAGAAATAATTGACGATGTGGAAATTTTCTTGTTGTTCTACCAGATAATAATTCATTGACAACATTTGGTTGAACACGTGCAAATAATAATGAACGACAATTAACATGTGTTGTTGAATGTGCATGAAATACAGCTCTAGGCAATAAACGACAGGCTACACCACGTAAAAGACAAGCTTCTACACTTATACGATGTGTAGAATAATTCAAATCACAAGTTGATAATAGACGATAAACATTCACCTTCGAATTTTTATCGTTTTTATTATTGACATTAGATTGACAAATAGATGTAGAAGAATGTGAAGGATAAGATGATAGACCATTCAATACCCAATTATGAACACTACAAATGAAAGCAAATAAGAATTCTTTCGAAATATTTAGCAGGAAAATAAATAAAAGTGAAATTCATCCAAAAACTAAAAACACAGTCGATGATGTAAACACGAAATTAAACAATTTGTACAAACTGTTCACACTGATAATAATTACGCGTTTACGACTGACTAATTTTGAGAAATCATTTCTCGGAGTTTTATTGAGAAACTGTGATCCACTAGAGTTTAATCACATTGAGTGTAAGGTAGTTTTATCCACTGGTGTTGAAGTTAAACATGTAAATCACTGGATGCTGACTTACTGGTTTAGAGGTTAAACCTTCGCCATGAAACATAAAATTCATGGATTTGATTCTCGATGGGATGATGAATGCACACTGCTGAAGGATTCGTGTTAGAACGAAATAGCTGTCCAGTGCATCCTGATACTTGATGGTTGCCTAATTAAGGTCAATCAAATATGATTGCATATTTTAGCAAGACAATGTATCTACCTATTCACATTAGATATAGAATTGTGAACTGAACAAGATGACTGAATGACACGCCAAACAAGGAATAAATAGTAAATCAGACTGCATATATATCTTGAATATTTGAGGGATAAATCAAATAAATTAACACAGAACAATTTGATTACCGATATTACCAGTGAAAATTACAATGGAAATTTTGTGAGGACGCATACAATTATTTGGTAGGCTTTGAGGGTCGACGAGTCACAAAATGTAACAACATTATGGGTAAAATTGGACATTTTGCTCAAGTTGATAATTCTAAAGTGATACTTCTTATAAAATTGCAGCTATAAAGTGAACTAACTGAGAATGTACATCACTACGGCATCCTTTAATAAACCACAATTATTGTAGAAATGTATGATAATATTTACGTATTGTATGTAGTTGGATTTAAATGCTTAAACTATTCATACTGAAACTCTTAGTCAAATTCCGGTTAATTGTTAAACATAAACCAGCAATTCACAGTCAGTTATATATGTAGCACAAATAAAGATCGATTCAAGTTGCTACACCACACCAAGACATTAAAATAAGATTATCAAGTAGAGTTTCAGAATTGTAGAACTAGTACTAGTAGGAAGTATTAAGTGCAAAGAATATGCTTTGCGAAAGATGTATTCATAGAATAAAAGACATAAGATTACATTACAACCCAAGATCTAAAAGAAGACAGAGTGAGTGAATCGATGTGTACCAATGCGATCGGTTTACAAAACGTCTTCAACTGTCAGTCACGCGAACTTCATGCATGTAGTCTGCATCTACCTAGACACAGCTTAGTTCAACAGAAGAAATTTCATGAAATAGTGGCAAGTTTTTGGTTTGATCACGACCAGCTTTTTTCCAGTCCATTCCTATACCAGCTAGAACGTTGCAGAGTATAAGTATTACATATCCCAACCATTCATGTAAATGGATATTCATTACCTAATCAACCAAGGAATCATTTTTTACCTAATATTCTGAGTCTAAACACACTACATCAACATGATGGTCCGAACATATGACAGAAATACTTCGAAGGCACTTACCAATACTAGCGAGCTACAAATATCCCAGAAAATGAATAAAAAACTTGATAACCTAAAAAATAGACTTGAAACATACTTACATAGCTTTTAAATTATCTGTAACTTCTACTCGCCAATCAACATCACATATGATAATATGTACATTTGAATCAGCTCGTAAGCTAACTAATGATGTAGTTGGACTTCGTGCATGTATTAATACTAATAATGGACCAGCTGTACCTTGTGGCCAATTATTAATACGATCAATTAAGGACCATGTATTAGCATTAACTGATTTATGATTTGATGGAATTCGTACACAACGAAATGATCGCCATGTAGATGCTGATAAATAAGCTTCTAATAAATCTAAAAATGCAGTTTGATGAGCTATAAAATATATACAACGTGGTCGCTTTCCATGATTATCATTATTACTGTTAGATTTTAAACCAAGTAACTCAGTTAATTTCAGATGTAAATAATAAAATTTACCTGAAACAAGACAAAAAAACAAGAACAGATCAAATACTATGACGAAATCAAAGATCTCATGAATTTTGCACACCATAAAGGATTTGTGCAGGAAAAAAGCATATAAAATTCACACACACACTGCATAACTTTTACAAGAAACACCCAAAATAGATCAATCTCAAGATCTAAAATGGTTTCGATAAACTTAATTGTTGTTTTTTAATTGTACACCTATTATATAAGGCGGTTTAATAATATTAAACACACACAGTTCTTTCGAAAGTTCAATGGAGAAGTGAACCTATGGTAATGAAATGATAGCTAGTTGGAAAAGAGGCGATCACAATTATTCGTAGGTGCTTTTTCTGCTAAACACTCTAAACATACTATTTGGATATTAGTTGATTCGCTACCAGATTAAAATGAGTTATTGACGTAGACACACGAGACCGAATTGGTCGAAATCAAATCCTTCCTACAACTAACTCTACTTACATTCCTTTATCTCACTGCACAGCTAATGCCAACGATGCGAATTCACGAAAAGTTATTCCTGGTTTCCTTAAACCCCGTTCTAAACTACATGTTGGAGCTTTTAATGTACGGACATTATGTTAAATAGGGCGACAGACTTCATTAGCTAGGACTTTAGAATCTCGGGCCATCGATGTGTGCTGCGTCTCAGAAACGCGCATGCAGGATCCTAGTAAAATCATTATTCTGATTTCACCTTGTCAAAATATAAAAGTAGCTCGCTTTACCGTTCGTGTATCTGGAAGTCCTGATGCTACTTCCAGGGGTCTTGCTGGCGTAAATATAGCATTGAGTCGTAGAGCTGAACACAGCAGATAGTCGCTTATGCGCTGTCCGACTGAACAGGACAGTAAGGACTCGGAAAGATAGGGACACTCGCCGTTGACTCTTCATCATATCTGCCTACGCTCCCACTGACTGCAGTTCAGACGAGCTGAGAGATGAGTTTTACAGAAAGCTTTCGGACCTCCTCCAAAAAGCTAGGCGCTCTGATGCAGTAATAATGCCTGGTGACTTTAATACTCAAGTAGGTAGACTAGGTGAGCAAGAAAGACAGTTGGGTGGATGTTCAGGTGTCGAGGCTCAGAGAACAGACAATGATGACCATCTTTTCTAGTTGTGCTCAGATAACCTCCTATTTCTAGTAAAAAAACACTAACTTTAGGCATAAGGAAAAACATCTTTTGACCCGGAGACCCCCAGAGTCATCTCAGCGTTGGACTCAATTGGATCGCATCGTCATCAGCCACTGATGGAGAGGTTCGGTAGAGGACTGCCTCTCGTTCTGGGGCACATGTTTAGATTCAGATCATGCCCTAGTGCGAGCTCGTATTTGTTTGAGGCTTACTGGACGTAGGAAAGACACCGTAAGAAAGCCTCTTATGATTTTACTTAATGATAATAAGGCGAAGAATATATTTCAGGAACAACTAGAAAGACAGTTAGGCGACCACGCAAGTGATTTCCATCCGGAGGCAGGTTGGAATGATATCAAAAAGGCTGTGGAAACAGCAGTGATATCTGCTGGTAAGGTAAACCATAAGGCTAGGATGAAGCCGTAGATTTCAGTCGCATCTACCGAACTGATGGATGCTCGAAAACGCATCCCACCTGGCTCTGAACATGAAGAAGAACCAATTCAGCTTAGGCGCAGGCTGATAAAAAGCCTACGTAACGATCGTGAACAGTGGTGGGTGGCGAAATCAAAAGCGATGGAAAAGGCAGCGGCGATAGTCAACAACAGACAGTTGTACCGACTTATCAAGGAAACTGGTATTAGGAATCCTGGTGTAAGTGAGACTGTCTCGGAAAAGGATGGGACTATTATTTATTCTCAATCCAGGAGACTGGATCGATGGGCAGAACACTTTAGGGATCAGTTCAACTGGTCTCGAGCCACTCTCCGGTTACCCACGATCTCCAGTCATCCTGAATGGTAAATCAATGTAAGTCCCCCTAGTCTTTATGAAGTTGAGAAAGCTATAGGTAATCTGAAGCGGGGACGAGCTGCAGGTCCTGATAGACTGACGACTGAGATATTTAAGGATGGTGGTCCAGTTTTAGCAGCTAGATTGACCGAGATCTGGGAACTGGACGTAATCCCACCTGACTGGTCCCAATCCTCGATTGTCCCAATTTATAAGAAAGGACAAACGTCTTCTTGTGACAATCATAGATGAAGCAGTCTAACTAATATAGTTATTAAATTATTAGCCTCCATTATACTTAGACGCCTTACTAGTGCTCCTGAAGAGGAGACTAAAGAAAACAAGGCAAGGTTCAGACCTGGACGTGGCTGTAGAGACCACATTTTCACACTACGACAGGTCCTAGGACACACGCATATAGGCGTCCTACAATAGTTGTCTTTCTGGACCTAAAGACGGCATTTGACACTGTTGATCGTGAGGTTCTGTGGCAGTGTCTGTCATTGATAGGTCCTACTTGGTGAAGACGCTGACAAAATTCAGTCTTCTGACCACCCTAAGCAACAACGCAAGCATGTTCGGGATGCAGTTCTCACCCTCGAAACGCAAAATGTTGCTTTAGGATTGGGTTGCATTGGCACCTGAACTAGTCATAGGGAGTGTAGTCGAGCGTGTAGACCGCTTATATCAGTAGTCTCATCGGTGCTGATGGCCTGGTGACTGACGAAATCTCAGCTCGGATACAGAAAGCTCGATTGACTTTTGCCAACCTGCGTCACCTATGGCGCAGAAGAGATATCCGCTTACCAACCAAAGAACGAGTGCACCGTGCAGCAGTTCGCTCCTTCCTACTATACGGATGCGAAACATGGCCGTTAAGAGTAGAAGATATTCGTAGGTTACTAGTGTTTGATCACAGATGTCTTAGAAGCATTGTTCGAGTATCCTGGGACAACCAAGTAAGTAATTCTGTTGGCAGGAAACGAGTACTAGGTAGGGATGGCAGGTCAATTGATGAAGTATTGAAACTTCATCAGTTGAGGTGGTTGGGACATGTGTTACGTATGCACAACCACCGACTGCCTCGACCAGCTTTGCTTTGTGGTGTAGGAGTAGGTTGGAAGAAATTTAGGGGCGGCCAAACCAAAACATGGCAGAAATCCATGAAGTCACTGACAAGTGGACTGAGTCATGTTGGTAGATGTAGACTACCTGGTTGGGGTCCGCGAGACGAAAGTCACCAATGGTTAGAGACCCTGAATGACATCACTCAAATCCGTTAGCGATGGCACCGGTGCATATATTCTTTGTGTTCTGTCAAATCCTAATCTTCTGGATTCTTCAATACCTCTAGTTTTTTCTTTCTAAACTTATCTGCTACTTCTTGAATAATATCTTCAAATCCTAACCTCTCTGACTACTGCTAATACCTTTACTACCTCTACTACTATTGGATTTGAATTGACATCTGCGTCTGTGTGCTAATGTGGTATGGCAACATGAACCGATGTACTTACGTACGAAGTTCTACGTTGCATCTGACTGACTCTGACTGACTGATTGACTTAAGCACTAAGCTTCTAAATACTGAGTCAATCAATGTGTTAGTTGAAATGTAAGTATGGTTCGTATGTACATAAGTTCAATTTAGTGTACCGAATTGTCACAGAAAGATGAAATTTTCACGCCGAATTTCAGATTAGCAGAGGTAGTAACAGTATCAGTGGTGATAGAAGAGATAAAGTATTGAAGATACATTTCAAGATAAAATAGATAATGAAATAAACTTTTAAAAAGTTATGGGGAATTCAGAAGGTTAGAATTTGGGAGAAGACAAAGAATGGATGCACCTGCACCACTGCAAACGATCTTGAGCAGTTTTATCCAATCTTTAATCACTGGTTACAATTATCATTCGGACCTCAATCTTTGTGCAAATATAGAGGATGCATAAATTTTTTTCATTCTATGGATCAAAATTTGTTAAGATGTGTCTGTTCATACAATTTCGTTGTTCATTTTGAGATTTCCTCAAGTAACTTTGTAATCAAAAATTAAATAAATATAAACTACCTTAATAATAACATAATTTGAATTTGTTCATATGTTGAATTTCTATTCTTTCTAGTTCATTAAGTAAAATGAGACCAGATTTTAACCAATAATAATAATAATAATAATAATAATAATAATAATAATAATAATAATAATTTCTGAACGAAATAAGCTTCGAAAGTAATAACATATAAATTTACTTACCTGATTCTAAAAACAACTGACTGAGTGGTGATTTAGGGTTACTGTTAAACGATGACAAAAATGAAGAATGAAATCCAATAGTTGAACAGCTTGAAGATGTTAACAAACGCGCTCGTTCTGTTAGAGGATAGAGTGTGTGACTTAAATGTGAGAGAATGGATGAATACATAGAAAATGACCAAGATAATTTTGGACAAGACAGATTTTTGTCAAACAACAATGGGAGATCAATAGGTCCAACAAGAGAAATTAGTCGTGGAGGGGTAGCAATTACACGTGGTCGCGTACATAGCGTACTGAAACGAAATAAGAGTTCCATTTAAAATAGTGGAATGATAATTCAAAAATTAAGATAACAGTATTATTCGTACACACGTGCATCTATCTCACTATCTGTCTATCGATCTATCCACACATCTATCTATATATTTAATATATATATATATATATATATATATACATATATATATATATATATATATATATATATACCAGTTGAGTAATAACAAAATTAATTATGTATCACCTGATATTGCTCCACTGTGAAAATTGTTTCATAACTATATTCCATATAAAAGATTCTTTTTTATAAGAATATACATTGTAAGACTTAAATTGTGAATTTTTCAAATAAACATTAGAATCAGTAGTAGTATAATCATGTAATAAATCTAAGCGTAAAAGATTGCACGTATCCTGTGAACACCAATCATCAAAACCAATTAACTGAGTACATTTACGATGATTATCTTTCAGCCAAGGATATGATGCATTTTCCTAGAAAATTAACAACAAATAACAATTGATTAAGCGAGATAATAGTTAAAGAACAAATATTCTATATTCGAATAATAAGTTGTAAATACGTATTAACTATGATTAACGACAAACGGCATAAAAACGAATACTCATACAAGCTGCGTGTGTCAAAAAGAGTTTAGTAGCGAAACCACAGTAGTCAGCAAGCATTAGATCCTCATTTTAATTATCATACACTATCGCCAAGTATTTCTCAGATAATCAATCTAATTTCCTTCAGTCAGTCAGCAACAACCTACAGTCTTTTCCAGCATAGCACATCAGCAAAGAGATGCGGTTTTCGATCATACTTCCCAAGTAGCAAAGATAGTAGCAGTATTAGCGATTATCACGAAAATTAGGGTTCGACGGAATTATTCAGCAAGCATAACCCAGTGAAATAAATTTGAAAAGGGAAAGACAAAGGTCACGAGGAATTCAAACGATTCGAATTTGAGACAAGACAAAGAATAGATTTATATGCACCAATGCAAACGATTTTCAGCCATGTCATTCAAGGTATGTAACCATCGGTTACTGTTATCTCACCGACCCCAATCTGGTAGTCTACACTTCTCAACATGACTCAGTCCATTTGTCAGTGACTCCATCGATTTGTGCCATGTCTTGGTTTGACCACCCCTAGCTTTCTTCCGACCTACCCGATCATTATAAAACACCGCTCATCGGGGCAGTCAGTAGTTGAGCTTTCCGTAACACATGGCCAAACCACCTCAACTGAGGAAGTTTCACAACCCCATATATTGATCTGCCAATCCCTACTTAGCACTCTTTTCCTAACGACAGCATTGCTCACTCGGTTGTCCCAGGGTACACGAGCAATGTTTCGAAGACACCGATGATCGAAAACCAGTGACTTACGAATATCCTCTGCTCTCATGTTATGTTCGGCAATCGAGTTCACCTTAGTCGGTAAACCAGAGCTAAGACAAGTGATCCATTGACAAGATAGGAAAGTCTAATCCGCGCGTACCAAGGACCTGCTAACGGTATCAAAGTTTTGATATGGCGTCGAAAGTGTATTCTACAAGCAACATTTTGCATTACGGCGGGGCAGAATCGCATACCGAACATGCTTGCATTGTTGCTTATGGTAGTCAGGAGACACTGCATTGCGTCAGCGTCTTCACTGAATAGAAATTTGTCATCGGTATATTCTAAGTCAACAAGAGTGTCTGTTGTTAGAAGGTTCACTCCTGAAAAGTCAGTCGAAGATAATGTTATCTCTAAAAGCATGTCTATGACAAAGTTAAACAAGAATGGAGAAAGTGGACAGCCCTGACGGACATCACTTGAAGTAATCAGTTCCGATAGATACTGTCATAGAACCTCACGATTAACACAGTCGAATGCGTCTTTAAGGTCCTGGAAGATAACTATTGTTGAACGCCTAAATATGTGTTTGTGTTCTGGGACCTGACGAAGTGTGGATGTGGCGTATACATCCACGTCCAATCCTCAAACCAGTCTAGTTTTCTCCCGTCTATTCTTCAAGAGGTCTGTGATTGTCACAAGAGGACTTTTGTCCTTTCTTCTAGACTGGGACAATCAGCGATTGAGGCCACTCCGATGGGATTACGCCCAGTTCACGAATTCTACCTAAGATTTCAGATTTCCTCGTCTCAGATTCCCTATAGCTTTTTCAACTATATGAAGAGTTGGAGGACTTACAACAATTCTACATCTAGGTTGACTGGAGATCGTGGGCAACCTAAGTGTCACTGAACGCCAGTTGAACTGATCTTTGGAGTGTTCTGCCCATCGATCCAATCTCCTGTATTGAAAATACATAACAGTCCCATCTTTTATCGACATAATCTCTCACTAACAGTAGGATTCCTAATACCCGCTTACTTGATAAGTCTGAATGGCTGTCTACTGTTACCTATCGCCGCTGTTTCTTCCATCTCCTTCGCTTTAACCACCCACCACTGTTTGTGATCATTGTGTAGGCCTTTTATCAGTCTGTGATTAAGATAACTCCGCTGTTCGTCACGTTCAAGGCCAAATGAGATGAGTTTTTGACCTGTCGAAGTGTGGATATGTGGCGTATACATCCACGTCCAGGTCTGAAACCCGCCTGGTTTTCTCCAGTCTATTCCAAGCTGCCCCAGGGAGGGCACCACCTACTACATGGATGCCTAACTGTTTTTCTGGTTGCTCCTGAAATATATTCTCAGCTTTATTATTATTAAGAAGAGTCTTAAGAGCTGTACGTGAGATATTTTTCCTACGTCCATTGAGGCACAAACAAATAAGCGCTCGCACTTGAGCATGCTCTGTGTTGTTTACTTTATTTCACTATAAACATAGCGGATAGTCAATAATATGATCAATTATTTCGAACATGTATAATCAAGTTTTAGGCTTCAATATAGCAACTGACCGAAATGAGAGAAACAACTGCATTATTTATTATCCTATCTAAATATTAAACTATGGTGCGGAGCATAATACATTTTGGTGCCTACCTATGTGTTTTAAATAAACAAATCGGTGAAAGATGTGTAGCGTGTGTGTACGAAAGAGTTGAGCCCGTTAGGATTGTTTCATCCTTAAATTTATAACAATAAATTAACCTAAAAAATTAACAAAGATGAGTCTTGTAGAAGAATGAAGTTATCTGAGACTAAATTGTAACAAGGTATCTCAAGGCAGAGATATACACTATACATTCAGGCTACATTCAGTGAATAATTAATCGCTAAAAGTATACTGTCTAATTGCATTATACCAATGATGAATCAGATAAAATTATGGATTTCTACTTGAAAAAATTCAAGCATCATAATAACAATAATAATAAACAGATTAATAAGTCAGTGCATAAAGCAGTAAACTAGCTTATAATATTCATTTATTCCCATAAAATCTTGATTCAGGGACCAGAATTGTGTGAACCACACAAACAAAAGGATGGACTGCCGAGGCAAGCACTGGACTACTCGATTTTTTATTAACTCCAACTTCCGATACTATTTTTCTCATTCGATCTTTCCGCATAACCTTTGTTGTTTTCGCATTAGTTGCTATTACCTTTAGTTCGTTAGCTTTCTTTATGATAGTAAGTTAGATTTTTGTTGTTATAGATACAGAGTTGTACCATGTCAAGTTTTTCCGCTTGAGTATCAAGCTCGTTCTACACTTAATCTTCCTCCTCTGTTAGTGATCAATTGTTGAAGTGTTGTGTGTCAGTGGCCATTACTTAGTCCCCAAGAGAACCGTTTGCATTAGAATAGCTTAATCGTTGCTTAATTTGCACGGATCGAAGACCAACCAGAATCACAATATGTAGTCATTTTTATACATATTTAACAGTGATATTGTGAAGAGATGAAGAAGAATAAGAGATGAATACGGTAAAAAAAAAAATTACAATGTTTTATAGATGTAAAGTTTACTTAAAAATATAACCCAAAGACCTTCATTCGGTTAAGGAAATTCCACTGCCTTGTTTGAAGAATATGATGGAGAACTACAGCAGGGTCAAAACTGGCTTCGATTTTGAGTCATGTCAAAGTGATAGATAACATATTCGTATTTGGTATTTATTTCATAAACGAAGATTATATATCCATATCCAAAAAAGACAGATATATAAGCTGAAAGACAATGTTTACACAAATATACGTTATATAAGTAGAGTGAGAAAGATTTACAGATTGTTATTATTAAACCGAGAATGGGATTGAGGAATAGAAAAAGGTTATTATGATGCAATGTATTCAAAAACCAATTTATTAGCACTTTCCCTACCTATGGAAAAATGGCATCAACCAACAGATGGACAAATCTAAGGTCAAATGTTAACATTTAACACATTCATAGTAAATGATAAACTTACATTTGAATTATTAGTATTATTGCTCAAATGGTCATTTTTGTAAGAATTTGTATGAATGACAGTATGAGACTGATGACTGGACATATCTGAAATACACAGAAAGAAATATGGTATTTCAACTCGTTTTTTAAATTTTTAACAGTAACCAAAAAAATTTCAAAATTTTGTCTGCGTTTTTTAAAACAACCACAGCGTTTTTTTTAATTTTTTTGAAAAAAAGGACACTATTTTTTAATTAAAGTCTTCTTTAACAATCGCTTTTAAACAATTGCGACGTATATGCCTTGAATAACCTTGTATAAATCATTTGATACTAGTTGATGTACATAAGAAACCTTTTTTTAAAGTATAATTTGAAGTCTATAAATTTATTCTTCTTATATATAGAAGATACAAGGGATAGGTTTATATTATAAAGAAAACATGCTTTCTATTGTTTTTATCTCAAATTTGGACCATTGTTATTATTGGGTTTATTTAATTCTATTAATTATTCAACAAAGTTGAGAATCCTCTTACGTTGATTTTCTTATATATTTGATGGTTTTACGGTGTTTTTTTTCTGTCTTTTCAACTCTTGGTATATTTTTATATTATAACCTTATAACATTTGCAGCAGCCTGGTAATTCACGTCACCACAAGAAATGACGCATCTTTAACACTGTATCCATTTTCAATAACCTTTTTTATGAGGTGTTTTCGTTTTTCATTTGAAGTCAAAATGTTTTTCCTATTCATTCCTGATATTTTAAGGATTATAAAAAATTTTAAAAAAAGCTGTGGAAATTTTTAAAAGATTTTTGGTTATTTTTTTAAAAAAACCCTGTTAAGAGTTTTAAAAGAGTTGAAATACTATATGTATGTATGTATACACCATGAAAGAAAGGATGGACGAAATTGACATGACAGCATAAAATGAAAAGACACTTAAATGAGTACTTTTTCTAAAAAGGTTTAATCTTTATTATTCTTAGATATTAAAAAGGCAACTACAACTAATATAAATAGCATTATTGATAGGCAGCCCAAAAAGTTTTAAAGGAGAAAATCTAGAAGACGATGTTGAAGCTGTCACCAGAAGGTCAATGAAATGCGACTACAGCTGATAGATGTTGTGAAAGAATGAATGGGCGAGTAAATGGTGAACTGAATCTTTCAATCAGCAATGTTTTTATATATACAAACATTCAAACGCAAATCTATTTATTCATTGAATTACAAAACTTCTCTTTATATAAGATGAGAAATAAAACAAGACAAGCGTCGAAAATGGATTTCTTTTCAAGAAGACTGTATGATCACACGAAATAAAAATATACACCCGTTTATTTACATCAATCAATCTAGATTACTCGAAATAGTTTGCGAAAAAGGAATTCGATACAACCTAAAGTCAGTTTGATTGCCATACACCTTAGCAGTTTAAAATGACACTTACAGGTTTAGAACCCACATAATTTAACGAGATTTGAGCAGCTAAGCATAGTTACCAAATCTTACAGTGTTTGTGTATTATAAACTTGTATACTAATCTGGTAACTATTGTATTTAAATGAAGTTAAGAATTAAAAACGATGATAGAAAGGTGAGTAAAAGATAAGTTTAAACTAAACGTGATCAGAAATAAAAGGGTATAGAATACCTAAATTTCAAAAAAGCCTCCAGATAGCATCGGGATCAATTTTGAAACAAATCATCAAGGAAGAGTCAAAGACTTGCGACGGTACCTGAACGTCACGGATACAAAACTTCGTTATAGCATACATAGCAATCGAAATAAGGAAGCAACACAAAATGATCAGTAAATAACTTACGTATTGCACTTTTAAACTGATCAGAATGGGCCATAAACGGGTCACTATTAAGACACAAGTGACTCGATGACCAGTTGGAGATCTCGTAATAGTTAGTAAATGATCCTATATCAGTGTAATCAATAAAAGGGAGATGAGAATCGTACTCTTCCACGCGACGTCGTTTGCAATAAACTGAATCCCGATCGACACATGAATTTCTTTGTCGTTTTTGTCTTTGAGGAATACTTACAATTTCAATGTCTGGATCAATACAGTTTTCAGAGTTGAAATGTTGAGACAGAGGAAGACCATTTGTTAACTGATTTTTGTGTTTAAAATAGTTACTTTCTGAATTGCCATTTGGGATATGAGATTCAGGTGAAAAATTGACCGAATCTGATACGATTTCTGAAATATTACCATTTCCGTAATTACTCACCGTTTGATGATTGTTGGATGATGATGACAATAATAATAATAACTGGTTAAACTGAAGCGTAAGATTAGCGATACGATTGCGGATATAAGCAGACGGTTTGAGAGTTTCGAACAAATTAAATAATTGACAAGTTATGTCAGATAATTCAGTTTGTCGAAGTAATTTAACACCTAACAAAACTGACTCCGGAGTGTTAAATATAAGACCACAATTGGAATAACAGTGACTACTTGAGTCGCGTATCTTTTGCAGAGATTTAAATACATATGGACCATGTGTAACATGAACCCCAGTTTGTAAATTATGCAAAGCATGTTTAAACATTCGTGAGGATCTTGGGTGAGTTCCAGCTAAAGAAGGATGACTGCAAGCACGTGCAGCAACTGAAACTGTTTGTAGTAAATCTAACAGGTTCCCAGTTTTCAGAGCGTTTTCAGCACTGTGAAACAAAATGTAGGAAAATCTGGTTACTGAAGTAAACACTCTTAGTAGAATGAGTTTACGATGAAACATCCAAACATAATATGTTCACAGAAATGTGAACTACAAAATTTACATCAATATAAATAAAAGACAATTTACAAACGTAATGAAATCATCATTATCAATGGAATATTTCAAGATATTTGTGATTGATCAATAATTTTAAAATCTTTTGCACACGAATTTAAGAAAACATAAATCTAGGAATAGGATAACAATAGATAATATTTTCTTAAGTTACTGTTTAACACAAACGTTTGAAGGACACGTTAGTTAACAATTCAAACTGAGTTGCAGAAAGTCAAAACTGTTGACACATTATATAAATGAAGGTGTACATATACACTCTAGATATACATTTTTCTAAACAGGAATAAAATATAAAAAAGTGTTTTGATATGAGTTGACATACACACACTACATAAGTACAGTATTAGGGAGAAAGCATAGGCATATGCAGAAGCGAGACAATAATGCAATATTTACAGAAACATCAAGAATAAATATTTCAAAAGAGAGAATAAAACATACAAAAAAGTGGACGACAATAATTAAAGATTTTGTTATTTTTTACAGTGATGATAGTGAAGTGGTGGGTAATTAGTTTATGAGTTCCGCTTTGGGTCACGAAGTTGCAGGCCCGAACCCCGCTCCATCTACTTCATCAGTTTGAGCAACAATTCGTTTTGTTTAATGATTACTAAGTATTTCAATTATTGTATCTTTGTATTCTCCTACGTGTGAGCTTCAGTTTAACGCATAAACTATTGTTGTATGTTTCACCCTTCTCGAGTTGATGTCAATTAATTGAAGAATTATCACATCGTTCTCTTCTACTTACGGTGCGGTTATCGCTATATTGTAATTTCTTAATTCTATCACTATGAAATCAAGAATTTACTCTATATTATTGTATAGGTTGAGTCATTAAATTTAATCCTATAATTAAAAGTTATCAACAAGCTGTGTTATGTTCGACTGAATGGAGCGAGTGAGCGGAAGAGAGATAACCGAATTCACCAAGAGTGGTTTTCGTTTGTTATCTGGTTAGCAGGTCATTGGCACTACATAGAAGATTAAGGTGGATTTATCGGTACTTGGACTAGATCATACTGAGAAGACTGAGGCAGGCGCGGAAGATTGTATTATGCATATTTACACTCTGAGTCAATTAAAAACGAAAACATTACATTGAACACTCTATTTGCACACCATCTTTGAGTCGTGACTTCCAACGCTCCATCCTTCTTCCATTCCTGTTTTTGCTTCCTTTCCTTCCTGTTGGTACTCCATTTACTTCTTGCTTTTGCTCCATTTGCTTTCCGTTTTCCTCTTCTGACCGTGCGACTTCTTCTTTCACGTCCCTTCTTATACTACTTATATCGTTCGTATAAGTAGCACACACCACACTCGTCCCCCCTTTAACAAGTCGCTCTCTCAGTCTTTCTGATCGCCGTACAGCCGTCTTCTTTATCAGTGTTTGTGGCTTGCTCCCTTGGCGCACCTGGTACCACCTTTGGAGTTGACTGGCATTCACGCGTTTCCGTTTGTTTCCTTTCTGGATCGTATACACTGCGCCGCGTCGCTCGGTGACTACGTACGGTCCCTCCCACTTCGGAATCAGCTTACCTGATCCTGGCCCTCGTCCTGTGGTATATTTCCGTTCTCTACACTTCACTTGGTCTCCCACTTCAAACGGTCTCCAGTTCTTTCTCTTCTGTTCTGACTTCTCCATGTCTGATGTTTGTTTCTCTCTCACATTTCTGATTGCTTGTCTCATCTCTGTTCTCAACCTTATTGTATTCCACCTCTGTTGCTGCGGCCAGGTTTTATCATGCGTTGGTAGTCTCGGCCATCTGCCATACATCAGCTGGAACGGTGACTTCCTGGTTGTTCCTTGTGCCGAGGCACGATGTGCCAGCAAGATTCTGTCTCCCAGTTAGCCCCTTTAGATGCTAGCCATTCATTTAGCGTTCGGTTATTCCTTTCCGTTAACTCATTCGTCTGTGGAGGATACGACGTTGTTCGTACTCTCTTGATACCTAACTGTTTTAGACGGGACTTGAACTCATCAGTCTCGAAACAGGGACCTTGATCGGTTAATATTATCTTTGGTATTCCATGGTCCACCACAATGTGCCGCATTACCGCTTCAGTCACCGTCCTTGCACGTTGGTCCGCCATCGGCACGGTATTTACCCATCGTGTGGCATGCTCAGTCATCATCAGCAGGTACTGGTTAACACTTGTCGTCTGTGGGAACGGTCCCATAACATCCACTGACCATAAATCACCAACTGCTGTTGCTGGGATTGACTGCAACGGCGGTCGTATGCATCGATCCCCTTTCATTAGTTGACATCGCTGGCACGCTAACACATATCGTGCAACATCGTCTCTCATACCTGGCCAGTACGCACTTTGTCGCAGCAAGTTAGTTGTCCGTGCAATACCTGTGTGCGCGTCCTGGTGACATTCACGAATCATCTCCTGGCGCAGATCTTTTGGGATTATTGCTACCCAGTTCTCGTCATCATCCCGCCAGGTCAAGGCTCCGTATCCGTTCACTCTCAGTCTCTCCTTCTGCCTCAGCAACACTGTTAATTCTTTGTCTGTTCCACTCTTGTCGACATCTTCTCCCTCTTTTATCACTCTGATTACATCTCGAAGGTTAGGGTCGGCTTTCTCATGTCGGACGAGTTCTAGGGGGTCTCCCTCCAGGCCGTTAACTGCACACGCTATCTCTGGAAGTTCGGCTTCGGTGTCCGGTCTTGACAAATAATCTGCCATCACATTTTCCTCCCCTGGCACATGCCCGATGCTAAAATCATACTCCTGCAGAGGTAGCATCCATCGAGTCAACTTCCCCCGGGGGTCTTTTGCTGTTTTCAACCATTGTAGGGGCTTATGATCCGTCTCGATGTGAAATCGCCGACCCAGTAGATACGGTCTCCATTTGTCTACCGCCCATACAATCGCTAAACACTCTTTCTCTACTGTGGAATACTTCTGTTCCTTCGGCGCAAGGACACGGCTGGCATACTTCACCACTCTGTCAGACTGCCTCAAGACGGCACCTATACCGTGATCGCTCGTATCGGTGGCCACTGTAAATGGCTTCTCGGATTCCGGAAGTCTCAGCGTCATTTGGCGGTCATCTAACAGCTCTTTGATTCGGTCGAAGGTTTGTTGAGCGGTCTCTGTCCACGTAAACTTCGCATTGCTTAGCACTTTATATAGAGGTGCTGCTATATCGTTGAAGTTCTTCACGAATCTGCTGTAGAACGCCGCTCTTCCCAGGAACTGTCTTAGCTTCCTTTTTGGGTTGGGAACTGCAATATTCTTTATCGTTAGAATCTTCTCCGGCAGTGGTTTTATTTCTCCATTGCCTACTTTATGCCCCAGCAACGTGACGCTTCTTTCCGCTATCTGAGACTTGTCTTTGTTAATTCGTAAACCAAACCCATCAATTCGCCTTAGGACCACCTCCACGTGCCTCACATGTTCTGATCTGTACGACTATGTAAGACCAAATCATAGCCATACACCTCGATATTCACCAGGTTTCTGAGCAGCAATGTCATTAGTCTTCGAAACGTAAATGGTGCACCCGCCAATCCAAAGGGCATTCGTTTAAATTGATACTGCTTCTCCCGTACGGTAAATGCCGTTTTGATGCCATCACTGTCTTTTATTGGTAGCTGCCAATAGCCCGACCGTAAATCTAACACTGAACACCGTAGCGCTCTATAGACGATCTAATGTCTCCGCTACTGTTGGCATTGCACATGGTTTTAGTTCTGTCACGTTATTCAGTTCTCTGAAGTCAACACAGAATCTATACTTTCCGTTTGGCTTCTTTAACAAAAGTACCAGTGAGCTGTACGGGCTATCTGCTTCTTCAATTATACCTGCCTTTAACATCTCCTGTACCTGCTGGTTTATCTCAGCTTCCAAATGTACGGGGACCCGTCGTGTTGTGAAGATGGTCACTTCTTCGTTCTTCATCGGAATTTCATGTTTAACTTTATTACAAAACCCGTACGGTTCTCCGTCTCCCGTGAACAACTTCGTATATTTCGTGAGCACCTCGTTAATGTTCTGTTTCTTTTCATTGTCCTCTTTTGCTACTCTAACTTCAGCTACCTCGCTGCTTTCATGTATTGTCAGTGTGCCGAACTTTGTAATCACCTTCTTACTTCTTGTATCAATAATTGCTCCTACTTCTCTCAAGAAATCTGCTCCTAGTATTGGTCTCGACAAGTTCGTAGTTACCACAAAGGGAAACTGTATTTCCGAATTGCCGATTTTCACGATATCATTTGAGACTCCTAGGATTTTTAACACGTGGCCTCCGATGGTGTTAACAACTAATGCACTAGGCCTGATGCTTCTACACCGCTCTTTGTCTATTAACGAAACTGCCGCCCCTGTATCAATCAGGCACACTACCTCTCGCTCGTTTATCCCTACTCTCGCATAGACCGCCCCCTATCTACTACTGCCGCGACCCCCAGTTTCACAGGACATAAAGAACACCATGTATATGGTCTAAAATGTTTACGTTTTCGTCTTGTTGGGCAATTCCTCTTCCAATGTCCGGTTCCTCCGCAAATATAGCATTTATTATTTCTTCTACCCTTTATTCGTAACGCTGCCACCTCGCGTTGTAATTCTTCTATCTTCTTCGCGACATCATCAGCCTGTCTTTCACACGCCACCGAGGCGACTGTTGAGTTCATCAGTTGTCTTGTTACTTTAGCCAGCTCGGTGACGTCCATTGGTTGTGCCGCGTTCACCAGTCTCAACTGTTGGGCAACCTCTGCAGGCACACTTTCAATGAATTGCGACGCTAGCAACTGTGCTTGCGACTCCTCATCTGAATTCGGCAGACCCCGGCGCAGAAATCTCGTCAACTCCACAGCCAGCACGAGTGGGTCGCCATCCACCGTCAGTCTCGCCTCTTGGAGCTTCTGCAACGCATCCTACCTATCCGCCGGGCTGTCGAACTCCACCAGCAGCCTTTCCGCCACCACCTCCCAGTCAGCGTCCTCCACACCATCGTACACCGCCCTGCCTCTTAGTAGAGTCCCCAACACCACTGCCTCCGCCCTCTGCTCCTTGACTCCTACCAGCTCCGCCACGGCTTCGAACTCCTTCAAGAAGCTCCTTACATCTCCGTCTTCAAACTCCCGAGGCCATGGGATCTTCATGCTGTGTAGAGGCAGCGACACCAATTGAGAAGTCTGAGGCAGGAGCGGAAGATTGTATTATGCATATTTACACTCTGAGTCAATTAAAAACGAAAACATTACATTGAACACTCTATTTGCACACCATCTTTGAGTCGTGACTTCCAACGCTCCATCCTTCTTCCATTCCTGTTTTTGCTTCCTTTCCTTCCTGTTGGTACTCCATTTACTTCTTGCTTTTGCTCCATTTGCTTTCCGTTTTCCTCTTCTGACCGTGCGACTTCTTCTTTCACGTCCCTTCTTATACTACTTATATCGTTCGTATAAGTAGCACACACCACAATACGACTGCTTCCTTGTAACTACAGTCCGATCACACAAGCCTCAGTATAACTCAAGGATCTAATTTTTACCGTCATATCAAGTAACCAATCCGTATTACTAGCTCTTATACTTAGTGTGGTTTGAAGTCGGGTAAAAAAAATCTGTATCTGGTGGACTAGATTAAGTTATTGTGATTCACACAGAACCAGAGGAAAATTATGAGAATAGGTATTAAGAAACATTCTAAAGCAAAAATGAAGTACGATAGGATGGACAATAACTTACGCTTTTGTACTTAATATTGCATCATGTAGTTTCTGTTGCATAGAGGACATACGACATTCAACAACTTCATCATTGATAAATGAGTCCCATTCCTCTTCGTCATCGAGACGTATGACGAATGGATCTAAAAACTGATTGATCGAATAACATGAGAGAGGTAAATATTCAACTAGATTCACTAGTTTATAAAGAAGTGGAAAAAAGAACTTTACATATCAAACGTGCGTGAGGTCTGTAAGATGTATTATTTGAACGTACCCCACTGATAAATTCTGTTAACGCTAACCAATTACTGTTCCCAATATTACTATTGAAACTGATGTTACTGAAGATATAGAAAACCAAGTACTAATTCATGCATTCGGCTTCGAGTCTCAATTTATATCTCAGGGAATAGTTATACTACCCGGCTGCCTAGATCAAAGTAGGTGGAACGAGACTTGAAGCTGAGACCTAGTAAATAAAACGTTAAATCGGTCTAACCACTAGACAACTGCTCCAATGGCGCAGGTGCATTTATTATTTAAAATTCTATAGATCTTGAGTTTTAGTGCTTCTCCTCTTTATCCTGCCGACTTTTCAAGCCATATTCAGTCATTTTCATTATCAATCTAATGGATTGTCCTTTTTGCAATTCACGTTGTTAATTTTGTCGTGTGGTAATGCGGTATGGCAGCTTTCGCCTACGTTCATTCGTGCTAGGCTTCGAAATGGTTGAGGATGAGTGATTAGACTTAGGAATTAATTTTCGGGGGATGGATGGAAATTATTAAAAAAAGCGAATTTCTGGAAACGAGTTTCGAAACCTGGGATCCGAAGATTGCAAGTCGATTGATTTTGCCTTCCAATTAACGGCACAATAACAGTATATATAACGTAAATACATAATGCTCACCTTTAAAAGTTGCTTTTTTGATGGTTTTGTTAACAAATTAGGAGAACAACGCTGACGTGATGGAAAACATATAGTTTGGAAGAAATCGTTAAGCCAAGAGCCATATTCTTCATCACTTGGTAAATTCTTCAGCAATAGTAGTTTACTAACATCCAGTAGATGAGGACTGTGTTTATGGTAAATAACATCTGAAGATGAACTAATCAATATGCGATGACCATTCCGGCCTAATTTGTTCAATATCAAATCAAACCAATCTGACTTTCGGTGGATTGTTTTAGATAAATTGGTAAATGGCCGACGACCTATCATCGGGTTAATAGTAACATCTTCGCTTATATGTTCAAGAAAACCATCAGTTTCACACCTAACTGGTGCATTTGGTGTGCAGTGATCCTGAGAACTCGATTTACTGGTAGCTATTTGACGACCAGTAGAAACTGTATGAGTCAGACCAATGTGTTTGTAAGACTGCGAAATAATACGATGAATCTGTAAGGAGAAAACATAACTTAACGACCTAAACAGGTAGAAAATATGATGGAAAAACATAAATTCCTTAGGTGAGTGCATGTGGTGTTGTGGTAAATAAGATGGATTTACATAATATTCGAGTAGTTTAAACCAGGCCCATCATTTGATTCTTCTTTGAATGTAGTCATGTTGTAGAAGGCTGCTTATAAAGAGTAGTTGTGATCAGTTCGACACCGCATTCTGAAATCTGGCTTCTTTAAGATGAGGATCTCCAGTGACTATGTTCAATCATTATCGTCTCCAACTGGTAGCTTACACCCAATGGTGCTGCCAAGTAATTAATGCTGATATTCAGCAAAGTGTGTGTTAGCGCAGCGATAATTCAGTGAATGTCAGTACCTTAAAATTTGGGCATATTTAACAAATGAAAACCCAGAGACTCCATATCGGTGCCCTTTTGACCAACCCGACCGTAGATGCTACCTTGATTTGGTGGTCGTGCTTGCCTATCGTGATGCCTCAAATGAACTATATTGGCTGCAATATATGCTTCCGTAGGTTCTACCATGCCACGCTAGTCGAATGGAGAACGATGAGACTAAAAGCAACTACTGAAGGTCTGAGGGCGAAGTCGTACTGCTGACTGTAGAGCGGTGTGACAGCAGCAAGGTGTCTCCCTTTGATAACCATCATCTGCAGCGATGCTCTCCTCTCACAAGGAAGGAAGAGTTAGAAAAGGTCGACCCTAAAATGTCACACCTCACTTTGAGGTTCGGGAAGACAACTATTGTCGGACGCCTAAATATGTCTGTGTTCTAGGACCTGTCGAAGTGTGGATATGTGGCGTATACATCCACGTCCAGGTCTGAAACCCGCCTGGTTTTCCCAGTCTATTCCAAGCTGCCCCAGGGAGGGCACCACCTACTACATGGATGCCTAACTGTTTTTCTAGTTGTTCCTGAAATATATTTTCAGCTATATTATTATTAGGTAGAGCCCTAAGAGGTTTACTTGCGACATTTTTCCTACGCCCATTGAGACACAAACAAATACGCGCTCTCACTTGAGCCTGCTCTGTGTCTAAACAAGTGGGCCAGAATGAGCGGCAGTCTTCAATAGAGCCTCTCCATCGATGGCTTAGAGCTATGTGATCTACTTGGGTCCAACGTTGTGTCGGCTTTGGTGGTCGTAAGGTAAATAGATGATTGACCTTATGCTTAAAGTTGGTGTTCGCTAGAAATAGGCAGTTATCTGAACATAGCTGCAGATGGTCACCATTATCTGTTTTATTATCCGTGCTTAGTCTACCTACCTAAGCATTGAAACAACCCGCCAATACTACTACATCAGACCGACAAACAATTTAGAGGAGATCCGAAAGCTTCCCGTAAAACTCATTTTTTACCTCGTCTGAGCTACATTCAGTAGGAGCGCAGGCTGAGACGAAGAAAAGGCAACGGCAAGTATCCTGCTGATGATACAAAATAAGATGATATTTAAGCATTTATCTAAACTATGGTTCATGTCTCAACCCACCAACATAGATATTCATAACTGCTAATAAAAAATGTATAGAATTAACGAACAAACTGTGTAGGAGTACGTGGAAGAAGGAGATATTGATGTGAAGGCCAATCTGTGGCTTAGTGAATAGTTCATTTACTTTCGTTTATGATCAATTATTTCGAACATGTATAATCAAGTTTTAGGCTTCAATATAGCAACTGACCGAAATGAGAGAAACAACTGCATTATTTATTATCCTATCTAAATATTAAACTATGGTGCGGAGCATAATACATTTTGGTGCCTACTGATGTGTTTTAAATAATCAAATCGGTGAAAGATGTGTAGCGTGTGTGTACGTAAATGTTGAGTCTATTTTGTCTCAGCCTTTCGAAAATCTAATCAATTCATTCCCATTGAGTTCATCACATATATTTTATACACGAAGCGTGAATCGAGATGGTTCCTTATTTTGATATTTTGAGGTCAAATAATGATACTACTCGGATCCTGTATGCGCGTTTCGGAGACGTAGCATACATCGACGGCGCAAGATTTCATAGTCCTATCTAAGAAAGTATATATATATATATATATATATATATATATATATATATACTTGAACGATACAGAGATTAGGTTAACAAATGGCAGAAATCCATGCAGTGACTGACAAGTGGAGTGAGTCATGTTGGTAGATGTAGACTACCAGGTTGGGGTCAGGGAAATGATAGTTAACGGTGGTTAGAGACCCTGAATGTCATGGCTGAAAACCGTTTGCAAAGGCGCAGGTGCATTGATTCCTTGTGTTCTCAGAATTTCTAAACTACTGAATTGCGTATCACTTTCTCTTTTTCTTTTTAAGTTTATTTCACAGTATTCTAATTCTTGAATAATATCTTCGAACCCTAATCTCTCCGATTACTGCTAATACCTTTACTACCTCTACCAATATGGGATTTTAATTGACAATTGCCTCTCTGTGCTGGTGCGGTATGGCAACCTGAACTTATTTACTCATGTACGAAGTTCTACGTTGTTGTTGATTGAAGATCGTGAAGTGTTGTATATTTTGTAGTCGAGTGGTAGTTTATTCGTCCAGTAGTTCGAGGTTCAATCAATAAGTACCAGGTTTAAGCCCTCCCTCACCTGCTTCTTTCTGAGCAACTGGTTAGTAACATTAGAAATCATACCTAGAGTTTTCCCCATCATTAGCAAGTATTGATGAATGAATACACTTAACTTGAATATTTTAATTTAATATCTTATTAGTGTAGAGTTATGGAGAGAAACTAACTAAAAATAAGCCTTTTTCACGGTTTTTTAATGATATAATGGGAATATTTGACACAGATCACTTCATCTTGATCAAATATAAAGTGACCAGGACTCAGTTCACCTACTAAATCATATAATTAGTCGAATATTTGGTTTAGTCAATTATTAATTTGAATACAACAAATCACCCAAATACACACATACAAGATTTATTTCGCTATACGCGCTTACTGAGTGACTAAGCAGAAAATTATGATCCACAAAAGTAGTGAATATTTGATTGAATAATTAACAATATGCATCACCACACTGATATCTCACCTGATCGAAAATGACTGAACTCCACTGGATCCGTATGAAACGATTGGGTCTTAAACGTAAAGCAGTATAACTAATCAAACAAATATTTACAGCACCTTGAGCTACAGTGTCACGAAGGCGATGGCCAGTTCCAGATCGCTCACTTCCACGCCCAAGACCCAAACATACAACACGGAAACCAGGGCACCACATTTGTAAACGCCTACGCCAGGCAGGGAGGCATAAACGTGGAGTTACAATTAGATGTGGACCCCAGACACCCGTGATTGGGTTATTACAGATCTCACCAGACAATGATTCTGAAGGCAAATATTGTCGAGGGTCGACAACTGCAAGTTGTCCGAGATGTACAGCTACAACCAATTCAGCATCACCAGATAAATGACTGTTAGTCAGCAACAACGCCGGAACAGACCGAGCAAACGCATGTCGCATCCAAGTGACTGCTGCACCTGAAAAAAACAAGTTATATGCAAAGAAATTTTCACACAATTATAAAGTTAGAAACCTAGTCACATCATTGAAATTGTACAGCTCATAAACAGTGAATTAAATTGGATATCTCAATAAGTCGGTTTGTTCGATAAAGGAATAGAATAGATTATCGATAAGCTATCATAAAACAATTTGAAAGCAATGACAATCTAAATGCTTCTTAAAAAAAACATTTTTTAAACACAAGAGCTGGACACGTAAGGAAGATAAATCCAAACGTATGCTAAATAATTTTGCTACAGATACTTTTTATCGGATAACTTTTTCCATGCTACTCATAAAAGGCAAGTAGTAAAAGCAGCTTACTCTAAAACCAGTGGTGGAAGTCCCCAACTATTAGTTAACACAATTCGCAAACAACATAAGAATTCACAAACGACATAAGTTCTACGCATAATCTTACTTTATCATGTTGAAAGAAAAACTTTGACTGAACTCACCAAGACTAGGGGTTGGAAGAAAAGGAATTCTAAGAGTCGGACTATAGGGAAGAGTACAGGCTTCAAAGATTGGACGGGATGAATCAGTACTTGCTATCGATACTAACTTCAGAGGGATCAGTTCTAGTGCTGCCGCGTGTAGGTCTGCTAGGTGACGAGGTATTGAAGGCGGAGGTGAAGAATACCAAGGTGCAAGAATCGTGCGCGAATTAGTACGAAGTGGATTTTTCAATGAAAAATTATCACATTCATTATGATCATGACTTGACAAAGATGATGCACCTGATGACTTAGAGCTAAACGAATCAAGTTGCATAAGATCGCCAACACCAGTATCCAAGCACAATTCATCGTTAATGGCATATGAAGAACCATCATCACCGTCCTCCATTTTGCTATCGATTCCAGATGATCCATTCACATGATTACTACTTTGGGAAGGAAGTTGGGGATCATACACTGTAGGACACTTTTGCTTATCCGTGTTGGAAAGAAAATCAATGTAACCACTAGGCAATATTTCATGTAAAGGCATACTCGCTTCATCGTGAAGAATTGCAATTTCTTTTTGAACATGCTAGCGATAAAATATAAAAGTCACAATGTTTTTATAACTAACAACACAAGGATGGATTAGATGCACCATTAAAAAGCTAACAAAGATATTTTCTAGTAAATAACGTAAAACGTTTTTCAATACTACTTTCTGTTTCTAATAATGCATTTACCAAGGCTACTGTATAATGTACAATGAAATGAACGAATGGCTAATACTTTTCTTGTATCACATAAAACTACTGTTTTTGGGTACTCATCAAGTTATTAATGTCTCGGAAACCTTATGATTCTTCATAACTCGTGAACCAAAAATCACCGCCCGTTCTCGCACCAAAAAAATTGAATTACAAACATTAGCTGATCATCAGAGACTATTAAGTTCTTTTGAGGAATTGATTTCCACAAAATTCATTAAATGGTTGAACAGATCGTACTAAATTTAAATGTTAGGAATGAAAATTTTTACGACTGTATCTTGGCAATAGTTATCAATTAATATTGAACAATTAAACAGGGGAATCATAAACTGAAAATCCAATACAATATTAGAAAATCTGTGGTTTAATAATGCTCAAAAATTATGACTGTACTAGTTTTTTCAGACCGAGAGTTAGTGTCTTGTTTATAAACTTAATAGGTTAACTAGGGACTTACTCAAAACAATTTCCTGCTATCATACTCGTAGACAGTGTTGTGCACAGAACTGTGATTACCTTGTGTTGTCTCCGCTGGGTAGTTTGCACCCAAACAACTCCTAGTTTAGACCAGCCTAGGTTTCTTGCAGGCTACTATTCTATCTAAAACACGATAAAGCATCGAAATATGTGGTCTAACATACTACTGCTAATCGTTTAACAAGAAATAGTACTTTGGTATCAACGTTAAGTTTGATAAAAGTCCCACACACCATACGGTAGGAAGGTTAGTAATTACCCACAATTTCAGCTGTTAAAATATTTACTAGGTAAGTGCTTTTTCTGGAGATCTTCAAGCAATTGTATACACTGTACTCAGGAAAAGTGAGAATTGGGAAAGAAAGGATTCCAAACTTGGTTCCTCCTAGCTATAAAAGACTATAAAATTATCACAAACCAAAGTCAGCTTACTGGGAGAACCCTATCGAAGGAACGGCAATAAGCTTCACGGTTTGATACGTCCGAATCTGAAGAATGGTATCCAGATCTAGATTTAACTCTATTTTCGACGTACCATCCTCGATCGACGCAGGGTTCGAGAAAGCGATTTAAGGGAACTTCCATGTCGGATACTAAACCTTGCACTTCAGCACTTTCAACACTTTGGTCGCAAGACTCGGATGAACTCGAACTTATCCTAGTTTCCGAAGTGGTATCATGTAACTCTTCAGAAGCGTTTTCCCAATGTCCACATTCGGAAGTGCATGAATGCTCGCTTTGACTCCGTCTTTTATCCGAACTAAGATATTTGTTATTTCGATTGCAAGTTTTAGTACACGAAGGCGAGTTGATTTCAGAAAGATAACATTCAGTAGATAAATGATCGGAAGGTGAAAAAGCAGCAACTCTGAAACCACTGACATCGTTATCATCCACGAAACTGGCTGCCAAACTACTGCTAGTTGACCGGCTACAACTATGTGGTCCAACAAAACTTTGATCTTCTACATTTGGTTTCCATTCTTCATCATCAATATCTCCATCCCCATCAAGATATGACAGGATTCTTTCATCATTCAGATCACTTGAAGATTCGTGAAAAGTTGCATCTCCTAGATCGAACTTTACAGCAGCTAACCAGCTTGGACCCATATCTGATAAATCAGCTATGGAATATTGATTCTCTTCAAGGGCATTATCCCAAAGTTTGTGAGAAGTTCGTAGACTTGCAACATCCAAGTCCTAAAATAAAATGAAGAATGAGTTAATCGCTAGAAAATAAGTCAGCATTAAGTAATGTAGAACCTATTACATATAAGATGATGAGGACCGTCAGCTGCAGTCATGCTCAGATAATCGGTCATTTCTAGCAAACACTAACTTTAAACATAAGAAAAATCATCTTTTGATCTGGTGAACACCAAAGCCGACCTAACGATGGACCAAACTAGACCTCATCCTTCATGATGGGACTATTATTCATTCTCAATCTAGGAGATTGGATCGATGGGCAGAACACTTTAGGGATCAGTTCAACTGGCCTTCAGCCACACATTAGTTACCCACGATCTCCAGTCATCCTGAATGGCAAATCAACGTAAGTTCCCCTAGTCTTTATGTGCCATATTATTCAAACAGATTCCACAGTAGTTATCACAAGTCTCAAATTCTTCTTTTAGACTGGGACGATCAACCATTGAGATTAAGTTTAACTCCCAGACTCGAACATATCAAAGTGCTGAAACAGTGGGGCACTGCATTTATTCCTGTTACATTTAAACCACCACATTTGAAACAAATGATCAAAAGAAAGCGAGCAAGTATAACCTAGTTACGTAATAAAAGTTTATAAATCCAGAGATAAATAATTGTTAAGTCTTATGAGAGAAAAATTGAAGATGTTACTATTTTTTTTAGAAGCTCTTTTATAATTTGAAATGCTTATTTCTGGTTTCCATTTTGATGTTTTAAAACCATTGGTGCATGATACTGATTATTTGACGTAACTCTGTGACGTGATTTCGGAAATCACATACGTAAGCCAATTAAGGCCTCTCTACAAGAACCATCGACTACAATAAGTAACTTTGTATGCGATCAGCATTTTTAAAAACACAATTACGGACAGAACTAGAAAAAGTAATATATAGTGAAATGAAGGAACTGAAGACTAAATGTTTATGTGTACTGATTATATAACAAAAGCGGACTTACTTGACATACGCCTCCCCACCAATCTTTGACCATATTCGCCACACGAGCAGCATTTCTCATCCTTAGCTGCTCTTCAAAGCGCTGAAGATGTTGATTACATTCATGTCGTGTAATAAGATAAAGTTGTGCAGCTCGAGCCAGCTAAATAAATGAAAGATAGACAAAATTTAATGACTACGAAAAGTGAACAGCAAAATAATTGAACTGGTCAGCTTTTCCAACAAGAAATTTATATAAAAACAACGGAAAAAAAATTATTTCCATAGAAGCTGTGATTCAGAGATCTCTAATCAGACTCAAAAATTAAATGGAAATGCATGATGTACTACAACAAAATACCGACAAACTGGTATTCATCGATGACGATCAAAGTCTGCAATTACAAAGGATTCAGTCTAACTATTATAGTGAAATAAACATTGGCCGAAATAAAACTCCCACACCTAACGAAAGCTCGTGAACAGCAGACTCGAAAAAACCAGGCTGGTTTCAGACCTATACGTAGTAGTGTACGCCACATATCGACACTTAGACAACGCCAACAAAGAAAACAACGTTCACAGACCACAGAAAAGGTATTTCTCGAAATTAAACAGCCAATTAACTCAGCTGATCGGGACGTGCTATGTAAGTGTCTTACTAAAAGGTGAACAAATCAATCTATCAATCAACAACAACGAAGAACTTCGTAAGTACGTACGCATATCAGTTCAAGTTCCCATACCACATTAGCATAGACAGGCAATTATCAATTAAAATCCCATATTGGTAGAGGTAGTAAAGGTATTAGCAGTAATCGGAGAGATTAGGGTTCGAAGATATTATTCAAGAATTAGAATACTGTGAAATAAACTTAAAAAGAAAAAGAGAAAGTGATACGCAATTCAGTAGTTTAGAAATTCTGAGAACACAAGGAATCAATGCACCTGCGCCTTTGCAAACGGTTTTCAGCCATGACATTCAGGGTCTCTAACCACCGTTAACTATCATTTCCCTGACCCCAACCTGGTAGTCTACATCTACCAACATGACTCACTCCACTTGTCAGTCACTGCATGGATTTCTGCCATTTGCTAACCTAATCTCTGTATCGTTCAAGTATATATATATATATATATATATATATATATATATACTTTCTTAGATAGGACTATGAAATCTTGCGCCGTCGATGTATGCTACGTCTCCGAAACGCGCATACAGGATCCGAGTAGTATCATTATTTGACCTCAAAATATCAAAATAAGGAACCATCTCGATTCACGCTTCGTGTATAAAATATATGTGATGAACTCAATGGGAATGAATTGATTAGATTTTCGAAAGGCTGAGACAAAATAGACTCGACATTTACTTCAAGTGATATCCGTCAGGGCTGTCCACTTTCTCCATTCTTGTTTAACTTTGTCATAGACATGCTTTTAGAGATAACATTATCTTCGACCGACTTTTCAGGGGTGGACCTTCTACCAACAGACACTCTTGTTGACTTAGAATATACCGATGACATAATTCTATTCAGTGAAGACGCTGACGCAATGCAGTGTCTCCTGACTACCATAAGCAACAATGCAAGCATGTTCGGTATGCGATTCTGCCTCGCCGTAATGCAAAATGTTGCTTCAGGATTGGCTAGCATCGGCACCTGGACTAGTGATAGGGAGTGAAGCAGTTGAGCTTGTCGACCGTTTCACTTATCTGGGGAGTCTCATCAGTGCTGACAGGTCGTCAGGAAGAGAAGTGGGTGGACACTGGTTCCCTGTGGATACTCACCAGCTCGCGTGCAATCTATTTACCTTGGTACGAAGCCTTCTGTTCTCAAGGTAGTTGCTCAAGTAGCAGGTATTACGAATTACCGAGTCATTTAAATTTTCTTTCTTTAATGATTGCTCTGTTTTATTTTTTGATTTGATAATTTATTCCAGTATGTCGTACGATCAGTCAGTCAGATGCAACGTAGAACTTCGTACGTAAGTACATCAGTTCATGTTGCCATACCTTATCAGCAGAGATATAATTATCAATTCAAGTCCGATATTAGAAGAGGTAGTAAAGGTATTAGAAGTAATCGGAGAGGTTAGGATTAGAAGATATTCAAGAAATATGATTCAGTGAGAAAAGTTTAGAAAGTCAAAACTAGGGGGGTTGAAAAATCCAGAAGATTGGGATTCGGGAGAAAACAGAGAATAAATGCACCGGCGCCATTGCAAACGGTTTTGAGCCATGTCATTCAGGGTATCTAACCATCGATTGTTATCATCTCGCGGACCCCAACCAGGTAGTCGACAACTACCGACATGGCTAAGTCCACTCGTCAATGACTTCATGGATTTCTGCCATGTTTTGGTTTGGCCGCCCCTAGCTTTCTTTCACTTAGTTATGCTTGCTGAATAATTTCATCGAACCGTAATCTGCTTGATAACCGCTAATATTTCTACTACCTTTACTTCTATGTAATTTGAATTAACAAGTCCATCTGTCTGAGCTTATTTCGTATGACAGCTTGAACTGATGCACGTACGTACGTACGAACGAAGTTGTACGATATAGCTGAATGACCAATATTTTCAAATATTTCATGAGGTAAATATTATAGGTTGAAGATCAAGCCCTTTTAAATGGACTATATAGCGCTATTTTCATAAACAATGTTTACAATATCAGGACTGCTTTTAGTGTGCTTATATTGAAACGTAATTCATATGTATGAGAACTTATCAAATTGTAAATTGAGATGGAATCTGGACACGTGTTTAGTGAAAATTTTCTTGAGTTACAATAATTACGAACTTAATGAAATCAACCAGTGTGTTTCTATACAGTTATTTTGACTGGTGTAAATACAGAAAAGCTAAAAATTATAAGCACATCTTATATTTTAGCAAGAAAAGTCACTTACCATAAGACATCCAATAAAAATTTGAAGATTAGAAAGCAGTTTAAAAACATTCAACAGAAGGACAACTTATACTGGTTTTTAACAGTCCTAAGAACGCTACGGGTAGCGGACATACAAAAATGAATGCGTTACTGGCTTGTGCATTCTAACGAAGACAGGTTCTAACCTCAAAAACAACTGATATTTATTATTTTAGTGAACATAAACCCAGACTCTGTCAAACTATAAAGTAAAGAAATGTTTGGATATTGCTTGTAAATGGTGGTGCTATCTTAATTAATTCAACTCATGACTTACACACAATCATTTCACGGCAAGACTATATCTTAACTAAATAGAAATAACAAACTGTTCTGTTTTATTTTTAATGCTTTTACTTTTGCTCGTTTGGAATATAGTATTCAAAAAAACTAGTTGTTAGCAATAGATGTCGGTATGCTTAATCAATCAGCTTAAGTATTCAGAAAAGTAGGAAATTTCATACAAACAAACATAAATGTACACTGGTTAAAAACGTGCACCATCGGTATGTAGTCTGAAACACTTACCTGACTTGCCATATGTTTCTTCCACTTTATTTCTTCACGAAAATCAACCGACAACCAAATTGCTTCATTCAAGAGATGTGTGTAATGAAGTATACCACACTTTGGCTCCATGACTTTCGGTAAACGATCAAGCGACCACAGGCCTCTCTTATGAAGCCTTGATACTTGTTGCAAGACAGAAGCCTCCCGCTTGGCATCTAGTACAATTTCGTGACAGGATGGAATAGTCTCATTTTTCAATGGTGATTTACATTCCACCGAAACCGGAGTAACGTGTACAACTTTGCCTTCCTTCAGGCGTGGAATAAAAACCGACTTAGTACTGGGTGAAAGATCCGCGGCACGCACAAAACTGTAAGTTAATTGCTGGTCATTCGTAAGCTCGACATTTGTATCAATCGTATAACTTGTACATATATCATCCAGCGAGTCTAGTTCTTGATTAACCACTCCAAGTTCTTGACTAAAAGAACATGAACTGAGTATCTGTGCAAGCTCCTCCAACGAGAAAACCTCAGAGTTTTGGTCTAAACATATTTTCTTTCTCGGTGGAAATGCTTCAAAAATTTCTTTAGATTCCATGGTTCCAAAAGACATTTTTCGATTAACAATTAATTTTGATGAGTGTTTTTACTGCACTTTCAATACAACGCATGAAAACAAGCTAGGGTTTTCAATTACGATTGGGTTGCTACATGCTTCTCTGGACAAATCGCTACAATCCAAAGAGCCGCCGACCAATCGATTATACAGCATTCAACATCCATTTCAATGTCCAATACATTTTTCACGATCTTGTGCAAACCAACTGATTTCTTCGCGCTCGATTCTGGTTCTTTCAGTATGGTTCTAGGTGTTCGAAAATGTCCAATGCAGAGGGGTCTAGCCACTCGACTGCCTAATTCTAGTCAGTTGGCAGTTGGTTGTGAGTTTGTCTGTCTCAGGATTTGAATGAAAACGTTTGTTTCAGGGCAGTAGGGTTTCTGGATACCAGCAGCCATCACATGACCAGGTCGGAGATCACTTATTTGCAATGTGGAGAGTAATAAGGATAACAAGGATAAAATTCTAATGCTAATATGAATAAAGTTTCAGAAATGAGTAATATGTAGATGAATTTAGTTTGTTAATTGGTAGTGAAGATTGTGAGAGAGAACCGTAGTGTAAACAAGGGGGAGGGAACAGAGATGAGATGCGAGATAGGTTAAGTAAGTGATCTGAGGAGATGGCAATGATAACAACTTGCAGGTCTCGAGATATGCATCATGAACAGCTTGTCCAAGAGGGCGATGATAGTCCGTAAGTGAGTACGTGATTATCAAGTCTCTTCTTACAGCTATCCACTGATGTGGTCACCTCGGCTGGAAGAGCAAGGTTTATTCTTCATCCCTATCATCCATTTGGTTGCTCGATCCAAGAGATTTATGTCTCTTTTAAGCAGAGGGGGTGCGATGACATTGTGAACCTCCAGGTGTGGGCGCGCGTACGTCTTAAATAGGGTTAAAAATAATTGCGGGATTACAGCACCAAGTTGTCTTTGCATAAAGTGAGGAGTCGAATTTGCCTCGGCTACGTCCCCTACAAAGTTCGAACTCGTGTGGAGGCTTTCTGTGGTTATTGTACCGAGATCGCGCTCTGAATAGACATTAGGGAGCGGACTTCCATTGAGGGTATAGATCGTTTGCGTCGTGTGAGGCGAAATATGCATGACGTGGCACTTCGGTTAGTTAAGTTTTAAACCCTTTTTAACGCCTTGCATGTTCACTTTGTCGTCTGCAATGTCAAGAGACAGCCATGTTTCAGTTAGGATTATGATCTACAGATCCATGTGAGAGCACATATTCATGATTTCTAACAGCTTACCCCTTAGTCCTGTGACACTGCTATAGAGTCCCTTGGTTGTTTGTCTCATCACCTGATGCACCCCTGCAGCAACAGCCGTCGTCGCATTTTCAAACAAGTTGTTCAAACCGAGTTGGTAAGTTCTGTGGGAAGTGGTCTGTGCAGATTTTTTGCCTGTGTTGTGCATCCAATCGGCGAGACCATGAACTTCGTGTCTTGTGCCCAGGGTTGTCGATCAGCGTCAACTGTCATTATTGTGTGCTTACTTTTGCCTCCCGGTCGTTGTCTCACAGATCTAGGTCGGCTCTTGCAACACTTGATGTGGTTAGAGAGATCGTTCTCCACGCTATACCAAGACCGAAGAGCCTCAGTTAAGTCCTTTCGATATCAGACGTGTACAGACATCAGACGTGGAAACTTAATGGTCGTGATGTGTGACGGAAAATGCTAGTTGACATGGGGATGAGAAGGCGCAGGCTACCTGATTGCCATCGCCACTGATGTACGTGACGCGCATGACTTCTATCCACGATTCCTCTATCTAGCTGATGCACGCCGCGCACTACCTTACTGACCTGTACCTGGGTGCCATGTGATGCCGTAGCTGCTTCTCATACTGACCACGGTTTGTCGTGCCTTACTTGGATGGGGGGGAACGCTGACTGATGGCCTCATGCATGATGTAAGGATTTCGTCGGCAACTTTTGTCAAGTTAACGTCACTCGCAACGGAAAGTTTCTTTTTGGTAACGTCCTGATCCCTGAAAAAATGAGATTGTTTGGCAGGGATATTGCTCATTTCAAGCATTACGCAGTACTTGTCCAACTGTTCCTAATGAAAAACAGCCATATTCAACAGATTGCTACCCTCCGACACTGTTATGTTAAATAAAATTAGTGAATTATGTCTTCAGTCCCTCTCCCTGATTTGTAGCATTTTCGAACTGTGGTGTTTCCATTCCCCTTTTTTACAGTAATACACTTCTCCGTGTTATCAACGGATGCCGCATGGTATGCAACAACCCGCAGTTTCGTCAGTGTATTGGTTCGGGTAACGTCCACCTTTGTCGTACGTTTCGTCGATTTAGTGCTCGGCGAGTCCGTTTTGCCTGTGAGGATATGTGGGTTGATTTTTAGTGGGGCCCGTGGCTGTTCTAATGCTTATTTTCTTGTCTTAGTGATTCTGTATTCTGGACAGATATATTAGAACCACAAATATGGGTGACTCAGCATGAACCCATTATACTGTCAAGGTACTTCAGCGTCACAGTGACAGTGAACCCATACACTCAAAGATATAGCATTCAAGTTCAGAGTCACTGGTTTTGACTGGCATTGATTGTGTCGACTGAGCTGTAAGACTCCTTTTTCTCCCACACTTATTTTGTCTACTGGTCTTACTGGGAGTAGGAATCTAAAAGTGTCGTCTTGATTTATTTGTTGGAGACCCAGAGAAGGTGTTTGGGTCGAGTGTACCGGATTGTGTACACTACTCCGACGTACACTGTCAAGTGACCTTTTTGAGTCTTCTCACAACTCTGTCTCTCGAGATTGAGTTTTTCGACTAACTCCTAACCCCGGAACTAATTTTTCCACTAGTTTTCAGGTGTTATAGCTCGAGGAATGTTAGCAACTCTATTACTGAACATGTTGCATGAGGGATTTGACGACAGAAAATGAGATAATTGGAAGAGGACAATACGCAAGACAGGAGTCATGGACGGAGGAAAATAATAATATCAAATCTGAGTTGATATAAACTGCTCAAGAATAGAACCTGAAAGTCACCCAAAATTTTCCCTCGACCGTCCTAGTAAGCAAATTTGCGTGGAACCAGTTACCTTTCTACAAGTCCCGTGTCTGTGAGTTAATGAACATGTGTATGCTTGCTATGCAACAAGGGAGAGAGTAGTTGATCGGCACAGCTAGATAAACGGCGTAATGGTTCTGACTTAGAATTATTACGTTAGTCCGAATCGCTGCTCAGGCTGCCTGAAAATCTGTTAGGATATTCACCAAATATCCTAAGAGTAATATTTTTGGAAGTATAATCCTATTGGTCAAAATTATGGTCGTTTTAACTAACAAAGTCAAATACTTCAATGTTGTCTCTTTTTGGTCATCCGGACTGTAAATGTCATTTCAAATGTTCTTTCCTATTGGTCGTCCTAAAATGTCAATGTTCACAGACCTTGATGCTCTTTCCTATTCGAACTAAATGTACAAATACGCACTATCTGTAAAAAATTCATGATCCCGATCCCGTTTCTATCCGCCTACCTCTCTTCTGTACTCGGCCCAATAAACAACTGCATCCAACGGTGTTGCGTGGTCTCGTGATATCGAAAAGATATCAAGACAGGTATAAGGCGACAGCTAAAAATCACCAAGAAAACGAGCCATAGTAGGGACATGCTTGGCTCTCGAGTTATTGTCTTTAGTACAGTTAAACAGAAAGGAATGCAATAAAACAGTTATGGTTATAATTGTTTAAAATAATGTTTCCTTTTCATCAGTTATGTTTCCTCATAAAAGCATACCGCGATAAGGTCACCGAGGATACGTCACTTTCGAAACACGCCAAAAACAGTGATTTTCTCTTTTCATACTGAGTTGGACACCACCAAATACCTGGAACAGAAAAAGAGATCACTAAGAAACCGAACCACAACTATCTTGGCTCAGAAACTACCTTGAGAACAGAAGGCTTCGTACCAAGGTAAATAGATTGCACGCGAGCTGGTGAGTATCCACAGGGAACCAGTGTCCACCCACTTCTCTTCCTGACGACCTGTCAGCACTGATGAGACTCCCCAGATAAGTGAAGCGGTCGACAAGCTCAACTGCTTCACTCCCTATCACTAGTCCAGGTGCCGATGCTAGCCAATCCTGAAGCAACATTTTGCATTACGGCGAGGCAGAATCGCATACCGAACATGCTTGCATTGTTGCTTATGGTAGTCAGGAGACACTGCATTGCGTCAGCGTCTTCACTGAATAGAATTATGTCATCGGTATATTCTAAGTCAACAAGAGTGTCTGTTGGTAGAAGGTCCACCCCTGAAAAGTCGGTCGAAGATAATGTTATCTCTAAAAGCATGTCTATGACAAAGTTAAACAAGAATGGAGAAAGTGGACAGCCCTGACGGATATCACTTGAAGTAAATGTCGAGTCTATTTTGTCTCAGCCTTTCGAAAATCTAATCAATTCATTCCCATTGAGTTCATCACATATATTTTATACACGAAGCGTGAATCGAGATGGTTCCTTATTTTGATATTTTGAGGTCAAATAATGATACTACTCGGATCCTGTATGCGCGTTTCGGAGACGTAGCATACATCGACGGCGCAAGATTTCATAGTCCTATCTAAGAAAGTATATATATATATATATATACTTGAACGATACAGAGATTAGGTTAGCAAATGGCAGAAATCCATGCAGTGACTGACAAGTGGAGTGAGTCATGTTTGTAGGTGTAGACTAATGCTGGCAGAAGTCCTCTGTTCACCGATGTGATCTGTTCAGGCATACACGAGCCTCACACCAATTCCCAGCTGAATGGAAACAAGATACTTTCTCTACAATCTTCACGAACCCAAATTAACAACAGAACCAAACTCCATATTAGGTACTAAAGTTTATTTGCAATTCACAAATAATCGACCAAAATGTCGTTCGTCAATCTACAAATAGTCGACCGACGTCGTTCTAACAACAGTAATTATAATAACTACAAATACCTTCAATCACGACCATTCAGTTTCCACGTCTGATGTCTGTACACGTCTGATATCGAAAGGACTTAACTGAGGCTCTTCGGTCTTGGTATAGCGTGGAGAACGATCTCTCTAACCACATCAAGTGTT